CATGAATTTCGACAGTATTGCCACTGGAAATGCGATATCAGGGCGTGTACTGACTGCTGCATACATCAGCGAGCCGATGGCTCGCTGATAAGGTACGTCCTTCATATCTTCCAGCTCTGCCTGTGTTGATGGAGACTGATCTGTGGACAAGATTTCACCAGGGTTCATTGGTGTGTATGCAGGCATAGCGTCTTGCATGCGAAATCGTTGTAGGATGGTCTCGACGTATGCTTGCTGGGATAGGGTGATGGTGCGTGCTGTCCGATTTCGCTCAACTTTTAATCCTAATAACCACCCAAGCTCCCCTAGATCGGTGATTTCGAAACGTTTTCGAAGTTGGTCCTTAAACCATTCGATATGCTTCGTGTACCTCGAAGTGATGGCCATGTCGTCAACTGAACTAGTTATGACCATGTGCTCGTCCTTCCTATGACGATAGTACACTGCCCTATCAACCTCCGAGCGCTTGAATCCGGTGTCCAGGAAGAATCTTTCGAGTTCTTCCGACCATTCGAACCCTGCCTGTTTAAGGCCATACAAACTTCGCAAAAGTTTCAGCACTTTGTTCTCGTCTCCCGGCTTTAGGTATCCTGGTGGGGCTCGCATATATATGTCATCTTTGAGCGGTGCATTAAGGTAAGCACTTTTGATATCGACTTGATGAACCTCCCAGTCCTGACGTGCTGCCATTGATAGTACCGTTCGGATGGTGGTCATATGCGATGTAGGTGCGAATGTCTCCGAATAATCTAGCCCTTCTTTCTGCCGCTGACCATTTGCTACTAATCGTGCCTGCAGTTTCAACTTCTCGCCATTTGGGCCTCGCTTGGTGGCTAGCACGAAGTGGCATGGTATTATGTTGGCTCCAGGTGGTGCGTCTACTATCTCCCATGCGTCTAACCTTTCGAGCTGACCTATCTCATAGTCAATAGCTTCTTGCCATTCTTCGGCATCCGGTCCACTCAATGCTTCCTTTAGCGTTGGTTCTGGCTCGGCGGCTGCAAGTGCCCAATGGATTAGCGAGGTAGGCTCTAGGCTCTCATCTGCTTCTGCTGCGACTGAGGCTCTCTCCCCCTCATGTAGTGCACGATAATAGCCTGCTGGTGGACGTACACGAGTTTGTCTAGGTGTTGGTGGTGTGGGAAGTGGTTGCGCAACTTGAGGTGGGGTTTTTGGCACTTCTGGTGTCGGTTTGATGTGCTGGACGTGGTTCAAGGTTCGTGGCTCTTGCACAGGTACCTCAGACTCCCCCTCGGCCAGTACATCATCAGCTGCATGTACCATTGTTGGGACGAAGCTGATGTTTCGCTCAACAGAAACCCATCTCTTCGCAGGCCAATATACTCGAGATGCCTTGCTCTCGAGATCAACACCTACAAACACGGCTTCTTCAGCTCGCGGTTCGAGTTTTCCAGCATGTGGGAGATGAACGAAAATCCTCCCCCCAAATTCGTGTGCGCGGGATAGATCTGGACGATGACCATGAATTAGGTCATACGGTGTGTGTCCGGGGATGGCATGGGAAGGTAAATGATTCTTCAACCATGTAGCATAGTTAACCGCTTCTGCCCACAGGAATTTCGGCATATTCTTTGCAATTAGCATAGCTCGTGCCAACTCGACCAATGTGCGATTCAGACGCTCCGCAACCCCATTTTGTTGCGGCGAGTCATGAGCAGTAAGTTCTCGCTTGATTCCCTTCTCTTGCAGGTACACATTGAAGTTAGAGCTTAGGTATTCGCCACCACGGTCCGAACGAAGGACCTTGATCTTCGCGCTATCATGCTGCCTGGTAAGCCTCGCTTCATATGTCTTGAATGCCGCTAATGCCTCGCTTTTCTGCTTTAGGAACATGACCTGTGTTTCACGCGAGAAGTCGTCGGTGAAACTTATATAATACAGGCACCCATTGATTGTTGCTGTCTGCGCCGGTCCCCAAAGGTCAGTATGGATTAATTCCCCATACTTTTTGGCTCTGTTTTGTGACTCCTTCGGGAATGGCTGACGTGTAGCCTTTGCTTGAGTACAGGCTTCGCAAAATTCTGGCTTCGAGGTGGAGTCAAGTTCGACACCTTCAATAAGGCCTTTCGTGATGGCATCAACAATCGCGGCCTGAGATACGTGGCCTAGGGCACGATGTAAGTCGCTAATGGTGAGTTTGGTCTTGGCAATGTTTGCGTGCTGATGAGGACTTGCAGCGATACTATATAGTCCATTTATTTGTGGAATTTCGGCAATGACTTTTCGTGTTGGAGCGGGGGATAGGATTTTGCACATGGCATCTTCGAAATGGACTGCAAGACCGGCTGCAGCAATACGATTTGTTGAGATCAAGGTAATGTTACGGACTAGGATAGTTCGAGCTCTCCCTAGGCGGATTGCCTAATCTGATAGTGGGCTCGCTATTGGAGAGACGGGGATCTTCTCTCGGATGAGAGGTTCGGGGGTTCCACTTAAGGTAGCGTCGGCTTTCCTTAAGGTGCGGCTTAGACTGAAGGACTGGGACTGTCTTTCAGAGGAAGTTCTGGATAAAACCTAGTAGAATCAAGTAGGGAATATACATGATTCTGTCTGCTCTATATACTGTCGTCCGTGTGCACAGACCAATACTACGTTCGGTAGGTAGGTATGAGTGTGTCTATACAAGGGCATCTTATCTGATGCCATGCGGGCGATTATCTGTACATGAGGCGTTGCACGCCTCTTCTATCAGTCCTCAAGGCTAAACATGCCTTGTAGTTTAACTGCGCATGCTGCGGCATGCGGTTTCTCTTCTGACCATGAAGCAGAGCTTCTCCATGATCCGGGTCGAGGACCATCTAGGTCCGTTCCTGATGTGCCTAGGCTGGTCTAGGTCATCTAACGGCATCCAGGCCGTTCTAGGTGTCTCTACAAGTCTCCGTTGAGTCGGTAAGTCTTCCAAGACGGTGCATATGGTGGGATAGGGGCTAAGGTCATGATGACCTCCGTAGGAGGGGTTCTCGGTTACATGTTATTGTAACAGGTAAAAGCCATCTTCGGGGTGTAGAGAGTGTCCTTGAGTGTAACTCTGGTGCTTGTTTTTCCTAATGGTAAGTCTATTTCGACGTTTCCTCGACCAACAGCACTAATACTTGATCCGTCAGCAGTGTGCACCTCCTGCGGCTCGATTTGGACGAAGCTCGTGAATTTTGAGCGATCAGGACAAAAATGAGATGTCGCGCCGGAGTCAACAATTGCTCCACGGTGTTCGACTGGTATGTTGATCTGTTTTGCTACACTTGCCAAGTCTGATGTGGCAAATGCATAGTTCTCTCCTGCTGTTGTCGTGCTAGACTGGGTGGCTGCATTGGCAGCTGGCTTCTGTGAGTGTCCATTCCTTTGTCCCCGTCTTTTAGGTCCCTGACCCTCTTTGCCTCCGCCTTTACTCCAGCAGTCTGCTTTAACATGTCCGACATTATTGCAGTTGTAGCAGGTGACACTCGAGCTTCCACCACCATTTCGGCCCTTCGACCTATCTGGTTTTGCGCCCGCAGTCAAGGCTGTGTTCCCTCCCTTCTTCGACACTGTTGGGTTCATAATAACCCGGTGCTCGTACTCTTCCGAGACAATGCCCATGATCTCTTCTGGTGAGAGTACTTTCTTCGAGACACGAGCTGCTGCATTCATTGATGATAGGATAGGACGATAAGACTCTGGTAGCGACCCCATAATTATGGCCGCGAAATCTTTGTCGTCGAGTGATGCTCCCATGCTGGCTAGCGATTCACGTAGCCGCATTAGCTCTCCAAGGTGAGCTTTTACATCCCCTCCTTCCTCGCATCGAGTCTCTTGTAACCGACGGTGTAGGTCTATCTGGACAAAATCACTTTTGCCCTCGTGTATGGTCCGAATCTCCTCCCATATCTTCGAGGCACTGTCCAGCTTTTGGACACGCAGCAGTAGCCGATCCGTGATCGTGCTAAAGATGTGCTGCTTGACGAGTGAGTTTTTCATATAGAACTCATCAATTTTTTTGTCCAGGTCCTCGACTTCAGCATCAGTGGCCGTTGTACCATCTGGCTTCTTTGGTTTGCTCGTTATTGGATCAATCGTGTAAGGCACTGGCTTTGCCGCGCGCCCATCGACATAACGCATCAGACCTCTGGCGCCGATCACTGTCAATATTCTCTCCTTGTAAGTTATCCAGTTTGTTCCGTCTTCGGCAAGCTGGGGAATGTTGAATAATGAGGATCCGGCACTGGGGAGCATTGTATCCATTGCTGAAGCAGCAGGGCTCATAACCTGTTAAGGTTGATAACGCGAGGGCAAGGCTAAACGAATATATCTCAGTCTCTAGTCAGTAGGACAGGACTCCTGGTATGTACCTAAACGAATATCTAATAGTAGGTTCATCAATATACAGGCAGTCTAAGTGGGTATCTGTACTCACATCTCAGTCTCTAGTCAGTAGGACAGGACTGAGATGTTTCTATCTCAACGACTCGTTTTGTAAGTAAATTTTCTGTCCGCAAATGAATATCATACGATTAATCTTCTAGCGCTGCGCCCAGCGCAGGAACTTCCGAACCGAGACTGCGTTCGTACCTTGCGTCTCGGCGCCAATCTCAACAGTACTTACAAGGCCCTTTATAATACATGTGATCAGTCTTCTCAGCCAGCAGTATTATAAAGCTCATTTACCATTTTCTGACATCCACCTTTCTCTTCTTGCTATCACTGGCCTGGAAAACTCCCTCCTCCTGTTTCCTCTGATCGTTGGTCATATACAGGTGGCAGTATCTTGAGATAGAATGACTGGTTGGTGCTGACAAATGTAGGATATGATGAGCATTAACACTCATCATGTTGGTGTAGCATTATCACTGGTTGTGGGTGGGATAGCCAGGATAACAGACAAGTGTTGACACTCTTCCTGTGTTGACATTGGGCTGCTGTTGAAATTTGAAACATTGACATGTGTGAGTTGAGGTGATTGGTAGTTACTTTGTTGATGCAAATGCTGACCGCGTCACGTGACTTTAGAACTTTGTGTGCTGCTCGTCCTTGGTCTTAGTGATTGCGCTATGATAGTGCAGTGTTTCTGGCACGCAACATGCAATCCTAGTATACTAACTATTGGGTGGATGTCTAGCATGCTATGAACTGGCGCCTTAAGAGCGACTAGCCTATACTTTCTATCTCTCACCGCCGACCTTCATTGTACATGTCAGTGCGAACGACGTTGGGGGAGCTACGGGAGGTGGCAATGCGAGTGTACTGTGATTGTACGACACTGCAGAGTAGCACTGCGGGGTTTTCACTTGAGGAAGTGCGTTGAAGAGGAGACACAGACTCACCTTTGACTCTTCCTCTTCGTAAGTGAGCCAAAACGAGGGTGGGCCAAAATCCGAGAATGAGACGGGTGGGTGTCGTGATTTTTGGTGCGGGGCGATTGTAGAGTACTGTGGAGTGCCATGCTAGAGCAGTTAGTTTGTAAAGTATGCTGAAGAGAGGATACGGACTCGCCTTGCACTCCTCCTTCCTGCTCCCAAGGCGCACCCAGAATGACGCTCAGGCCATAACTCGAGAATGAGACGGGCGGGTGGCGTGATATTTGGTGTGGGGTTATTGTGGAACACTGTAGAGTAAGATACTAGAAGTATTAGATGATGGAGTGCGTTGAAAAAGAGGTGCAGACTCACCTTGGCCTCCTCCTCCCCAAAGGACCTCCAGAATGAGGTTGAGGCCATAATTCGAGAGTGAGACATGCGGGTGGCGATAATTTTGGTGCGGGGTGATTGTATAACACTGTGGATTAGGATACTTGAACTGTTAGTTGAGAGAGTGCGTTCAAAAGGAGGTACGGACTCATCTTGTACTCCTCCTCCCTAAACGGACCCTGAGAGGTTAGTGGCACCATAATTCGAGAATGAGACGTGCGGGTGGCGAGATTTTTGGTGCGAGGTGATTCCATAGCACTGTAGATTAGGATACTTGAACGGTTAGTCCAGGGAATGCGTTGAAAAAAAAAGGTACGGACTCGCCTTTGCCTCAACCTCCCCAAGCGTACCCAGAGGGACATTCAGGCCATGACTTGATAACGAAACGTGCGGGCGGCGAGATTTTTGGTGCGGGGTGATTTTAGAACGTCATATGGCATGATACTAAAAGGATAAGTTCATGAACTGCGCTCAAAAAGATATATGCACTCGCCTTGGCCTCCTCCTCCCAAAGGGCATCTAGGACGATGTTGAGGCCATAACTCGAGAATGGGAAGTGCGGGCGGCGAAATATTTAGTGCGGGGTAATTTTAGAGCACTGTAGAGTAGGATAGCAGATGGGTTAGTTCATGGATTGCGTTGAATAAAAGATACGACAACACCTTTACCTCCTCCTCCCCAAAGGGCACCCAGAACGATGTTGAGACCATAACTCGACAACGAGAAGTGCGGGGGGCAAAATTTCTGGTGCGGGGTGATTGTAGAACACTATAGAGTAGGATGGCAGATGGGTTGGTTCATGGACTGCGTTGAAAAAAAGATACGACAACACCTTTGCCTCTTCCTCCCTAAACCCATCCAGAACGATGATGAGGCCATAACTCGACAACGAGAAGTGCGAGCGGCGAAATTTCTGGTGCAGGGCAATTGTAGAACACTCTAGAGTAGGATGGAAGATGGGTTAGTTCATGAACTGCGTTGAGCAAAAGATATGACATCACCTTTGCCTCCTCCTCCCCAAAGGGCACCCAGAACGATCTTGATGCCATAACTCGATAACGAGAAATGCAGGCGGCGAAATTTTTGGTGCGGGGACATCGTTAGGTGGGGACGATTCGGGGTTGACGCTGCCTGACATTGGTCCGTTTTCATAGGATATTTTGAGTCAAGGGATGTGTTGAGTCGGAGTCGCAGGCCTGCACTAGCCGGACTTTCACGTCAGGTATCACTTCTGCTGCTTCAGCGGCTTCACTACGGATATTCTTCTGTTGGAGATGACCTCAGGCTGTTCAGTGGGCTTCATGCCCCCAACCTGATGAAACTCTCCTTGAAGGGTCGAAACTTATCAGGTACCACATATTCGCCCAATGAGGACGATGGTGAAGATGACAACGCACCAAGCAAATAAAGGTAAATAAGTCGTAAATAAGTTTCAATGTCAACTTTTATTTCAGCTGGAATTACCTTGATTTCGTGAAGCAGGTTTTCCCCGATGAGTGAGCACCCTCGATTCTCGGTGGTTTCTTCTTTCTTTTCTTCTCGCTTGCATTACATACCTAATACACACTTCTCCGTACTGTATCACCCGTCCACAGCTATTTCTATTTGATTATACTAGTACATCTTAATTTGAGTGCCATACTTATAGGCCTACGAATTAATCTTCATCTATCATGTTGACAGCTGCAGTCGTTCGATCTTAAGTGTGATGTTCGAACGGAGGATATGACAACACTCACAAACCAATGAGCATAGCTTGTCAGATGAGGATACTAGATCGACATCGTGGATTCATACCGGCGCGCAGATAAGATTGACGAGGATGCTGTATCGACATCATGGACCCGTAGCGCGTTGCATACCGATTGTACGACTGGCCGCGGTTCGACGCTGGATCGTCATCACAGTGCGCTCGACAATGTCATTGACAAATGAGTTCAGGATGACCGTGGCCTTGGAGATACCCGCACCGGGGTGCACCTGCCTCGACGCTGCAACAAAAGTCAGACTTGCAATGAGGAAATAGAGGAGGACGTACCGATGCTCTCAAAGATAATAAACGAGTTCAGGATGGCCGTGGCCTCATTGGAGATACCCTTGTCAGGGTGCACCTGCCTCAACACTGCGGCCAAAGTTAGACCCGCGACGAAGAAGAAGAAGTAGAGGGAGGGCGTACCGATGCGCTCGGGGACATCGGTGATAAACGAGTTCAGGATGGCCATGGCCTTGTCGGAGATCCCCGTATTACGGTACACTTATCTCAACACTCGTTAGCCTTGTCAGTAGTCTTTGCAGTTGACTTAGAGGCAGTTGAGACTCTGGCTTAGGTGCCATTTGATGATCTGGTGGTAGGAGATGAAGCAGATGAGTGAGTGCCGAAAAGGTGGTAAGTGAATGATGGACGCACGAACAAAACGCGTCCGATCCTGTGTGAAATCGACCCAAAACGGTAGTTCTTCGTCGGATGACGGCGGCACTCGTCCATCTCAGGCTGCTTTTCCATCCGCGATGTTGATAAGCTAAGTGCATATCTCTACAGTATGTCACGCTGGAAGTTCTGACATAGAGTCTCAATAGCAGTCCTTGCGAGGGCGTTCGAGGCTCGCAGATATCATGCAACACGCTTGTGGGGGCACTGGCTAGATCAGCGAGGAGGCGTGGAGGTTGCAGCTGGTGGTGTCGTAGATGACATTATACTGGCGGCTGGTGAGGTCAGCGATGCGGCGTGGGAGTCCTCTCGCCGAGGAGCTAAATGGATGTAATCCAGGAGTCGCATAGATTTGGGTCACTCAGGTGCCATGATCCTGGTAGACGAAGGGCATAAAGCAGAATGAAGGGGAGAGTGTAACGGTACTTACGGTTCTTCCAAACGGACGTTGTACGAAGTCTCGAAAGTGTCGGCGATCTCCTCGAATTCAGCGTCGTCTTTTATGATGTATTCATCCTGTTTTCTGTCCGCGATATTCTTGTATTTGGGCATTTGTCTTCCTGATTTGTCGATCTATCAACGACTGATATGGCCAAAGAAGTCGGGCCAACGTCTGATGAGTTATCAGGGATGCTTGAAGCTTGTCCTCTCCTGCAAAATCTTGTGATTAGGAAATCTGGCCCGCTGGCTGGACTTTCACGTCAGGTATCACTCCCGCTGCTTCAGCGGCTTCACTACGAATATTCGTGCATCGGAGGTGACGTCAGGCCATTTAGTTCCTCTTGGCCACTACTACAATAGTTACATTATTCTTGCTAGTACTGTAGAAGAGGCAGGTCTGGTCTCGACCAGACCTGCGCTCAAGAAGGAATTTGATAAGTTGCACGAACGCCATAGATGTTGGCGATCGTATGCGGGGAACTGGCGCGAAGACCACCTGAGCATGGAAAGTGCTTCTCCGGGAGAAAAACAGGAGGTCCAATGATCGCCATCAACCCTTGGCGCGAGGACGAACGAGTCAGCCTACTAGTGTTTAATCAGCCCACATGACGGACTCTGAAGCGGAGGGCTGAACTTCCCTGTTGTCCATATTCATCACTTCCGTGTCCGCTGTAGTATCAACCTAGTATCCGTCTTGTTGTTATGACGTTTACTCACTTGGTATGACCTTGAAGTAAAAATTTCTGACAGCCTGACGACCTCAGCGATGCCACGAATCTGATTCAAGGAGACTGCCGTCCCCTTGTAGGTGCTCGTGGCAAGTACCAAGCCTTCGTGGAAAACTGTCCCAGGTGCAGGTCCGCTGCTTTGCGACAACATAGATCATCTTGTCAAAATGGTACTTCTTCCATCACTGTATCGCGTTACAAGTGTCACGAGTGAGATATATCGAAGGTGTCCGGAAGGTGATTGCTTTGCCAGACGCACTAGCTTTTGACATGTTTCGAGATCGATGCAGACGTCCGTGAAGCATAAAATGCTTGGAACTGTGAGGTAGTAAGTTTTATGCAGCATCGTTACAATTGTAGCGTGTATTCACTGGGTACATCCTGATGCCAATAGTCTTGTATACATTATTGGCTTAATTTGTGATGGTATGATCAGAGATGGGATTGGTGTTGGTATTGGCAGAAGCTCGTCTAAGATGCATCCCTGCGCACTCTGTCAGTTTAGAGTTTTTTCAATAACATGATAGCTTACCCTGCGCATTGCAGATGCTTCTTCATCGCTCATCGCAAGCTCCCTCGTGTAAATATGCGGGTCAGTCATGTATGTATGAACTAGTACTGTGTAATTGTAGATGACCAAGATGATTCATAAGTGGTAGGGTGGTTGGCATGGTGAGGGTATGATTGGGGTTATGGACTGTGATCGGCAAGTATCAGCTTGTATAAGATTCATCCCTGCACGCTATTTAGTTTAGAATGTTCTACATGAACCAAGGACTTACCCTGCGCGATGCCGATCTTAGGCGTTGGATCAGGCGAGTGCAAGCGCGTGCACTGTTGCGCATCAACCGCGTTATCAGGGACGGTGTTGGGGGGTTAGGGGCCTCGAGTTCGTAAATCAGGAACTGCGTGTGTGACGCAGTATTACTGAACACATTACCACCGTGACCTTTGACGCGAGGTATTCGAGTTGTGTCTGTGAAAATGGGTGTATTGTGGTAGATGAGATTCACGTGCGATAAACTTACGATATTGTCCACGTTGATGCCGACGTGAGGTATATTCAGAACGCGAGACATGTTTTTGGTCTGACATTTAGATATAGATGGGTACGTTTGAACGATAATCTATTTTCTTACCGTAATTGTTCCTTTTATAGCAGTTATAAGTGGTTGATTAAGATGACGATTGAATCGTATTCAGATCAACCATTATGTAATAGTGTTTTGTCTCTAGCTTACGTCATGTTGCTTGCACTGGCTTATCATCGACATCTTGCTGAAACCGGTTCTTGGGGTATGAATAAGTTCGTCATCTTGCTGCTGAAGCAGGACAGGACTATACCATCCGTCAAGAGGGTGAATGACCAGTCCCGATACTAGCACCGGAGCCAGACGCTGTATACCTGTTCGTGGAGCTCGACATTAATGTTGTTGATCGGATAGCAAGGCTCGTTGACGCAAACGCGTTCGGTCGGTCGCGTGTGTGCGTACATTGATCGGCCTTTTTGTAGATATTCTTGTGTTCTAAACTTCTTTTGTAGATGTGCCATGCTCCTCCCTTCTCCTGACGACATCACAGTGACTTTCTCGGGCACGATAGACAAGATCTACCTCCAATTCTCCAAATTCCCCGAAGCTCTCGGTGTGGCGATCCGCCTTGATGATGTTGCACTCATCTGACAAGACTTCAACGTCTCTTACCACCCGTGAGTCATGTCACACGCGCATTGCTATTCAGAAATGCTGACTCGGTTGCCGTTTCTCACGACCGTGAAGTAAGTGGTGAGAATTTTCTTTTTTTGTACTCGGACTCAAACTCAATCTATAGCTATCCGCTTTGAAGGTCTCACAATAGTCACACCTAGTAGTCGAGTCATTCTCTCAAAATCCGTATATACATACAACAACGTTTTGCATTGGGCCGTCGATCATGTATGTGATTAATATTCAACTTGAGATTCAATTCATAATTGTGGCGAATTGCATTGACAGGGTTTTACGTGCGCCTTCTAGGGTTCGGTTGGCAATTCCGGGGGCTCTTCGCCAATCGGATTCACACAGAGCCGCTGATGCGCAGTATAACGTTTTGACATCATAGGTGAGCTTCCGGGACGCCACTGCACATTCCACAGCCCAGATATCGCTTGAATCCACTGACCCCATTTATGTGTTTCTAGCTGTTTTTGCCCAAGGCCTTCCGAGTCATATGGTTATCTGCACGTGGTAAGTTCGTTCTGTATCATTTTCCACGAGGAACCAAAGGGCTAACCCATGTGTACTGAGGCTTTCCACTTAAATATGACCGACATGAGCAGTTGAGTCGCTTCAAATTCCCCCTGTTCAAATCTTAATCACCCATGACCTGCCAGATTCACCGACCGTGTTATATTGATAAACTTCCTGTGGAAATCCTGTCTCAAGTATTCATGCTAGCCGTACATGACACACCCAGTGAATCCCTTCAAAGTGTCTTGATGCCGCATGTACTTGCGTCGGTGAACCTGTGCTGGAGAACAGTCGCACTCTGCACTCAGAGCTTGTGGTCAAGCCTCATTATTGATCTTCACAAGATCACCCGCAACCAAACCGGTGGGGGCTTTTCACCGTTGGCCACAATGATCGCACGATCAGGACGGTCCTCGGTAGATATTATTATAAGAGCTCAACAAGGCTCAATGTCAGGTACTGAAGAAATGATGTAAGACGCATCTCGATTTTAGCTGAGTACGGGTATCTAAACGTCTGCCTTTAGGAAAAGAAAAAGCGATTTCACTAAAACAATGTCCCGATATGCTGACTGTATGCCCGCTATTTTCATCCTCTTATTTCGTGAGATGTATCGGTGGCGTTCACTGGAAATCGTCAGTGATACTTGGATGCCGATTCATAGCGCCCTTCAACTTCTCAATGAGCGCAGGACAGAGGGCTCAAGTGCTCTGCGCCTCGAGTCTATAAGGCTGAAGAGAACCAACGACTACCTCTCTTACTTCTGGCTTTTCTGTCCACGCATAGCGAAGATGGTGGAAGGGACTATGCTTGCCGCTTTGATTGGACCTACCAGTCAAGGTGTCTCAGCGCAATCCCCCCCCCTTCCAAAATTGCGAAACATAGCTCTATATGGTGTTCATTTGAACTGGACAAATTTCCTTCATTATACTCTTGGCGCACCTCCCAATCAGTCACTTACTGTCAGTCGCTCTATCCAGTCGCTGGAGCTTTCCCACCACAGCGGAGAAGTAAGGCCAACGTCTGATGAGTTTTCAGGGATCCTTGAAGCTTGTCCTCGCCTGCAAAACCTTGTGCTTAGATTCTCTGGCCCGCTGGCCGGACTTTCACGCCAGGTATCACTTCTACTTCTTCAGCGGCTTCACTACGGATATTCTTGTGTTGGAGATGGCGTCAGGCTATTCAGTGGGCTTCATGCCCCCAACCTGATGAAACTTTCCTTGGAGGGTCGAAATTTATCCGGTCGCACATCTTCGCCCATCGAGGACGATGGTGAAGATGACAATGCTGACAGCCTTCTGAAATACTGCGCGACTCATCCCTTATTTCCAAAACTGCAGGAATTGTCGCTTTACAATGTCAACGCACCGGTGGCCACGTTCACTCTCCTCATGGACGCTATTCCCACGCTCTTTCATCTGTTATTACATCGCACACCAAATGCGCTCCCGGCACTGTCGCCCATCCGGAAGTCTTTGGCAGATCGCGGTATGCCCTGCCCTGCCCTCAGGTCCATCCATATTTTCCCAAATTCGCATAAGGACAGTCTCAACGCTACACTGAAACGGCGCAGCACAAGCGCCCCCAGATTTGCTGAGTGGCAATGTGAAGAGATGACGGAAGGTGGAATAACGGTGTTTTTCGGTTGTTCGAGAGTTGCCTAGTGCAACAATGTATAGTGTAAGAACGTGTCAACATTTAACGGACAGCGAATAATGCGATGCTACATCTACAATTGGCGAGAGAGCTACAAGAGACACACGATGCGAACTGCCACAGGCTTGCTCTCGAGGCTAATTAGAATCATGGTTACGGGTGTCAGATATGACGGATGAGAGGATGAATGGCGTCTGGAGCTGATTTCGATGAAGAACACAAAGTAAGGGCTGTACACAACACATCACAATGGATTCGTGAGAGGATGTATCGGACATTATGATATGCCTATGAAGTCCTTGGTCAGCAAGATCCCTCATGCTAATGTCTGTTTCCTAAGTCAAGTCATTGTACGTGAGTGTCGGTGAAACTTAACAAGTTGAGTGTGCTCACATGTGGGCGAATTTTGCATTGCTCAATCTGAAAGGAAGGTTGCGCGCCGGGAATGATGGCGCCTGATTGTTGAATAGACACACGGAATGAAGATGCACGAGGACTGACAGAAAGCAGTTCACCTTGTCCATCCTAGTAGGCCATCCCAGCTAAATGTGCATATCTGTATTCAACACTTGAAATGTGAAGAACGACATGGGGGAGTTGTGATACTTTGCTGACGTCAAAATATCAATTATGGATGGAGCTACGCACCTTGAATTGGAGGTTACAGTGGTGGGTTGACCCTTTGAGACATTGAGAGGTACGTCTATGCCCAAGCCCAGTTTTATACCAGTGTCACTGATGGTTTTTTTGCAGGCGAGGAGGCCGAGGGGCATTCGAGAGGGCGTTGATCAGAATATCATATTGGCTTACATTTCAGATGGTACGTGCTTGCATAGGCATCCGACAATGTTCGTGAGCTAGTGAGTCCATGCAATGTACCCACATCTGCATCGTATCTGTTGGACGTACAATGTCGACGCTTGATTCTAGGGGGTGGGTAATGCGGATGAATGACGGTGCGTGTGAATCTGACTGTGGCTGACAGTGTGTTTGGTCAAAGAGCCTTGCACTGCTTCATTGTGTACTCGGTTGTTCATCGTCTAACATAACGTAGACCGCGACAGGAACTGTTGGAAATTTTGATTTCAAAGTCATACCAAGTTAAGTAAACATCATCACAAAAATGCAGATTAACAACAACACGCAGACTAGGTTGATAGCACAGAACGGAGACGGAAGTAACGAACATCGACAACAAGTCCTGCGTAGAGTCCGTCACATTACCCTCGCTAGGTTGATCAAAAACACGTAGGCTGACTCGTTGATTCTAGCGCCGAGGGTTGCACTCGTCGAGCTCGTTAGTTGCCTGCTGCCCAGCCCTACTTGCCAATACGAAGCGAATAAAGTCGACCTCTGAAGGAAGATATTTAATCTGCTTAAACAGATGCTGGGAATGGCCAACAAATTCCTCCATTGTTAGCTGGGCAAGATCGTTGATCTCATCCGGGTACTGCATCGTAAGGAGCGTCCAATGTAACTTTGGAAAAGGAGCAGAACGGATGCGGTATGTGGCGCAAGTTGCAACGAGAACTTGAACTTTCAGTGCGAGTGCAATTAGTTTATAACCCCGGCGACATCTCGCTTCAGCACCAGGACAATATTTCCTAATCCCATGTGCGCCATGGAGCAGGGAGAGATTGCGCTCATTTACGTTTTCGTTTTGAGACTGTCCCTCGCGTACAATCAGCCTGATGAGCACTTTGATTTATCTGGACGTCAAAGTGTATGTAATATATTTTGTACTTTGTATTTACACAACACATTGATAGGCTGCTACTGCACGTGCTACGGTGCAGATCTAGATGTCTTGAAGCAGATCCGATTTGCGGTGTTCTAAACACAACTGGCATGAGAAGGGTGCGCTGGACCAACCTGCCGCCAGTGCAGCTGACTCAACGATAAAAAAGCTACTTACTACAATTACTATCCCCTACGTAGCGGTCTGTTCGTGAGACTGCCCATTCCGTGAGTCACTTTTTGGCGTGGAAACGTGATGCATTAATGATGGTTTTGGTCGCGCGATGCAAGTAATGTACGGTACTTGAGTCATGAAGATATTCGCGAAAAAGCGACTCACGAATAGACCGTTACTAACTCAGGGATAGTACGGTTTATATGTAATTCGGATGGACCGTCATTTCCGTGAGTCACACTTTTAAAATTCTTCGCGTCGCTGTGTTACCAATAATCATGCTTCCACGCCAAAAAGCATGACTCACGAAACAAGTCATAAGGGATTCAGATTGTGTGAAGTTCAAATGCCGGAGCAGAGTTAGTCTACAGCCGAGCGTGTAGCATTTTACGCTAAGATCTCAGGGTGATGAGGCAAGCGGAGTTCCCTAACAGCTTCAGCTCGAGGGACTCGGACGCGTTTGACTCCGAAATAAATCCACACACTAGCGAGTTCACCAATGAGAGAGCGCCCCGAGCAGCTTAATTACTCAAGTACTTATGACTCAGGAAATCTTGCAAGAGTCTGCCCGTTTGCATCGGTGCCCGCTCGGTTTGCACATCTTCGACCGGCCCATCACGAAACCGACAAGCCTGCAAGTTGTAGCATCATTCGGATCATTACCAGCTTGTTAGCCATTCGCTACTACTACAGATCTCAAGTTTTTTGCGCTCGACGTAATTTCGTGAGTCACGCTTTTCATCAAGAATGGACCGTAACCGAGAGTAATCCGCCTTTTCCCGCAGGCTAGCGTTCATTAATATGACGATCGATAGTATCCGTCGGCACTGGTTGGGCTTGTGGCGAGGGAAATTATCATAAGGCAAGCCTATCAAGTTTCGGAATTTTCGTTCGAGTGCATGCCGAATAACAGCCTCGTGGGATGGTAGAATAAGAGAGTTTACTGATGCGTCCCCCAAAGATCTAGTCACGTCTATCCCCAAAATGCCAATCATTCCATACCCTCTTGCTCTGATCCAACTCTGGATCGCCAATCCAGCGCTGCCGTGGTCAAATCCGGTGTGGCAGTCTGTGACACACGTTGTTGGCGAGCCGTGGGCGTACGACCATGGCGAGGATGTGACTGCTGCCGCCAGATATTATGACGTTACTGGATGGACCGTGGGCAAGGCTCAGGCAGTCGAAGCTTTCATTAACAACTGTAAAATGGCCGAGGAACCTGCTGAACACTATGCTCTTAAACGACAAGATAATGACCATGAAGGTCGTTGTTTGTGGAACGCCTGGGTTAAGACTTCATGGGCCAAATGGAATATTAACAAATTGGTCGATGAGATCTTCGAAGAGAGTGGTTGCGCGCCCCACAATGTCATGGCCAGGTTGAATTGCAAGATCGCAGACGACGTAAGTCGTGTGCCAATCCATCTTTCTCATAATATGACGTAGCCATGTACTTAGTTTCCGACGATGGAAGCTGCGCAGGTGAAGCAGATTGTCTCCATCAAACTAGCTGATGTGTTATTTGGTGACGATGCATTTACCGACGGATCCTTCCTTGCACTACCCATCGTGACGTTTGTCAGTACAGTGCTGGTGTCAACGTGGAGTAGGTATCGGAAGGCGATCAAAAGGCAGGCTAACAGCATCGACAAGAAAACTAAGGAAGTTGAAGAGCAATGGCTAGGTAAGCCGCACAGTTTGGTGACTGAAGGCGAGAGCTAACTTTCGGGCAGTCATCACGGCCGCAAATGCAAAACCTACGATGGCCAGCATCCGCACTTACATGAAGAAGCTGGAGACCTTGGTCACGCTTCTTAGTGTGTTCAAAGACCAGGAGACGGCAAAGAACCTTGATGCGCGTCGTGAACAGGTCAATGCGATGCTGGCTGCTGCCAAGAAAGATCCTGCCAAAGCAGAATCAATAGGAAGTCGGTGAACTGTATTTGACTGATATGTACACGATGACTGAAGGTTACTATTGTTTAGGGCTTCCTAAATCTCTACGGGATGCGCTTGACAAGCTGGCCACCGAACGAGAAGTCAAAGAGCTCGAACTTTTGATCGAGACCACACTTGCTGCAATGGTGCCGCTTGATGGTGATGAGGTGGCAATAGACTTCACAGAGGATATGGATGTGGGTGATTGGAAGAGCGGAGTTGAAGAATATGACAAGTGCAGCGAAGATGACCTTTGGGAATACCTGGGTCTGCCAGAGAAGAGGCTACCTTTTTTCCAGAGGCGATCTGACCCCGATGCCGCCATTGACCCGTGGAGTGAAGAAGGTCAGCGATGGCTTGATGATTCGAAGAGTCCAGCACAGAGTTTGGCACCTCGGTGGCACCAGCTAGTTGGCATCCTGAGGCTAATTGACAGGTTTTTGGACGGTAAACCGGTGATGCTGATGGATGGCGTTGGGGTTGGAAAAACCATGCAGGCTGTTGGTTTGATTGCGTGCCTTGCACACTACAAAGAGCATTACAGGAAGCACGGGAAGTTTCCTGGAAAATTTTGTAAGCAATCTGTTCGGCTTCCGGCAATGGTGCATGCGCTGATGGTTACCTTACAGCACAACGTTGCCACCAGGGGACAGGTGGCAACATTCCAGACTTACCCACCGTCATTATGAGTCCCCCTAACTTACAACATCAGTGGATGAGCGAAATCCAGCGGTATCTAAGGCGAGCAACGTTTGACGTCCTCCCTTACACGGGAAAATATACCGCACGTTCACAGTGGTGGACAATGGCTTGGAGTAAATGCCAGCAACCTCCGATACGACGCATCATTTTAGTCACGACAAATGTAAGTGGCTTCTGAATATCTTATCAGAATACAAAATAACTCATGTTTGGCAGGCAGCGCATGATGATGCAGCCACCGTATTCATCGAGGGCGATAGGGACAGTTACGGGCAGCCAATGACTAGCCCTCGCTTTGAACGAACTGGTCCCAGTACCCTCTTCGGTCGTGGATACAACGTGACGTTTTTCGACGAAGCTCACTGCGCAAGGAAATACAATAAAGTACACGTAGCAGCTCGAGGACTTCAGGAGAGGTCTCACTTGATGGTTGCAATGACTGCAACGCCGGTCACCACGAAACCCACGGTAAGCCTGCCTAAATGCCATCAATCAGCGGATGTTACTGACTTTGGTCGATATTGGATTTGATGAACACCAGGACCTTTGGATTATGGGTCAGCTGCTAGGGCTTCCGCAATTCAAGGATACTGCCCAGCTCAAGAATATGAACCGAGAATTGGCAGCGGCTCAGAGACGGGACCGCAAGGCACAGAGAGAGGCGGGAGTTGAAGGATCGATGCTACGAGGCGTTTTGGTCGGCACCCATAATCCAGAGGCTGCTCAGGAAGAATACCTGCCTGCAATGAAACAATGGATGGGCCGTATGAGAGAGTGGTTCTCCCCTGCTGTCGTCCTTCGTACCCTAGATTCCACTGACAATACAGGCAATAGGATCCTGGGCCTCCCTTCCTATCATGACCATAGCTTAAAAATCAAGCTACTTGACTGGGAGATGGAGAATTTGAGGGGTATTGCGCGGGAATATGTTCATGACTGTCCCATTATAGGGATGAGCAAGGTGAGTTTAATTGTTCCGAACGTAGTCATCTGAGAAACGAACTCTTTTTGAACAGAATTTCTATGTTGAATTTAGGCGGTCCATCCTTCACCCGCATATGAACCCAACTGATGAACATTCATGGACCAAACCGAAATCTCTGGAAGAGTGGAACGGCGGCCCCACCAAAAGTATGAAGTTGGATGTTTTGGCTAAACTTCTGAAATACCATTTGGAGTCTGACGGTCGCCAGCCAATGACGATGGATGAGAGCGGTCGCAGCCTTGTTCCTAACCTCGCCTTCAAAGCTGGAAATACTCGCCCAGATCAGCCAGACAGAATTGTAGTATTTTCAGCTTTCGTAACCTCCAATCAGGCCATTGTAGATGTGAGTGCTGAGGTAGACCGACCGCTCCAGCCTTTTGATCGGATCACTACTGCCAGATCCTGGATCTTCATGGTATTCATGCACTAGAACTTAATGGACAGACACCCATGAAGAAGCGCAAGGACATTTTGGACGACTTCAGGTCATCTGCAGGGACCAAAGGAGCGCGTGTCTTGATTTTGTCAGGTGTAGGTATGGTTGGCTTAAATTTGGCTTGCGCTAATATCATGGTAGTGGTGGTATGTGCATTTTTATATGTGCTCGTATTTCAGGCGTAGTTGATCTTCATGGCAGGATACCCTTTGGTCGGAGCAGGACGATCTACAGTTGCGTGGGCGGATCTACCGTCACCCTCAGGCTAAAGAGGTACATGTTTACCGAGCCATTGCCTTGAAGACAGCCGATGTCTTCCTAAACAATATCTCATTCTCAAAGGGCGCAATGCATGAGGCATTTGTAGGTGCTGACAAGGAATTTCGTAAGTGTCTGGCTTAACTCTGGAAGGCTTGGCTAAAAAGCATATCTGTAGGATGCATGTTTAAAGATGATGATGGCGCCATGGGAGATTTGATATCGGTATTAGGGCCAAAGTCAGATGACTTTACAGATGATGAAGATCCTATGGACGTCGAGCATGAACCCGTCGGGAGGAACATGGCTGGCAAAAAGAAGACGCGTACCAAAGCGACAGCTAAGAACCCACTCTCTCCTGCCAGACCGGCCACAAAGCGCAAGGTTAAGGGAACTAAGACAAAGTCCACGACCGTTAGTATTGATGATGAGTCTGGGGGCGACTTACACAAGCATCGCAAGGATGAGCAGCCACCAGCCAACATTACGATCAAGGAGGCACCGAGTCAGGCTGGTACAACGAACACTGTCACAACGCTACCTCAGTCGCAGGGTGGAAATGACGATTCATCCCTGTCCGACCCACCTCCTCTGACATCTCCGTCTGCTTCTCCCAGCCTTCTTCTCCGTCCATCTCTTCCACACCACGCCTCTTTATCCACCGATCCTTTGGTTCCGGCTCTAGCTCCCGCCACCGCTCCAGTATCTACTCCCGATGCTCAGTTAGACCAACCTACAGGCTTGCAGGATGACTGCCGGGATAAAGTAGCAGGAGTGGAATTGGCTGGTCATGGCCATGAGATGAGCTGGAATGATAGCCAAGACTGGAATGATTGTGGCGAGCATGAAAGCTGCCTGACTGTGGAGCACGACAAGCAACCCTCCTGCCTCCTCTCCGATCCATTTGATGATATCTTCAACAAGAAACGTGCACCGGTAGCTGATGGAAACTTGGGTACGTCTGTGGCAATTCTCGTGCATGACAAACGGCCCCCCCGCCCTCGCACAGTAAAACCTGGCGCTTCGTCATGGAGGCATAGCGGTACTTATACTGAAGGATCCCAGTCGGCTCAGGCTGGTACCTCACGCCCACGAGGGCAGACCTTCAGGCCTGTCGCATTAGGTTCAGGTCCTGCACATTCTGCCAGGTTCTCCTCCAATGACCGTATGCAACAACTTGAACGGCGGTCTCCCAGATAGATATGTCGGAATGTCTCGCTTATGAAGCCTTCCACCCATTTCCCGCATTATGTAGATCAATGATCAGCTACATCCTTCTGTATTACTTATTTCATATCATTGGATGTTCTTCAAACATAGCCTAATCACTGCCACGTGCGAGGGTTCTCAACCAATAAAAAATGCTTACGTCATACCGTGTTGTCGGCTGGGAATTCGAATTTCTGGAAGGGCAGTCTCAGCGACCTTCTGCAATTTTCGCTTGCACTGGCTTATCATCGACATCTTGCAGGGTCTGTTCACCGATACTCTCTCTCTCGCTATGACTTATTCCCATACTGAACCACGAGAAACTTCTTCTTTCTGCATTTCTCACTCCCTCCTACATCCAAAATCTCTGAACCCGGTTCTTGGGGTATGAATAAGTTCGTCATCTTGCTGCTGAAGCAGGACAGGACTATACCATCCGTCAAGAGGGTGAATGACCAGTCCCGATACTAGCACCGGAGCCAGACGCTGTATACCTGTTCGTGGAGCTCGACATTAATGTTGTTGATCGGATAGCAAGGCTCGTTGACGCAAACGCGTTCGGTCGGTCGCGTGTGTGCGTACATTGATCGGCCTTTTTGTAGATATTCTTGTGTTCTAAACTTCTTTTGTAGATGTGTCATGCTCCTCCCTTCTCCTGACGACATCACAGTGACTTTCTCGGGCACGATAGACAAGATCTACCTCCAATTCTCCAAATTCCCCGAAGCTCTCGGTGTGGCGATCCGCCTTGATGATGTTGCACTCATCTGACAAGACTTCAACGTCTCTTACCACCCGTGAGTCATGTCACATGCGCATTGATATTCACTCTTATCTGCTCAGGACGACGAGGAAGCACCTTGCTTTCCTTTGTGCGCGTGCGCAAATTCCCATCGAATAGTGACGCAGAAGATGAATTCCAAGAAGACACACTAGACTGCCTGAGCAACGCACAGCTCAGTGGAAGTTTGGAAAAGAGGTGGGCGTTGCTGATTTGAAGAGTCTCGAAGTTGTCTACAAGAGTCATCTGGAGACTACGAGTGCGTTTTTCAAGCTATTGTGTTATTGTATTCTGTTTCTGAACCATGATCAGGATCAGGGCTGTCTGCCAGTCTCGTGCTAACCTTGCAGGCATATCCGTCAATGCATTAGTCAACGCTGATTTTGGTAACAATAAACTAACGGTGCAAGCTGAGGAGGGCAGTTGGGTTCACAAGAAAAAAGACCACGGTAAGTATCTTATCAGTTCGTGAAGCCGGTATACTAACACCCGTTTTCTAGGCATGATGGACGCTACAGCCACTCCTGGATTTTGACTCCTCTGGGACACGGACGTTGATCTCAGCCACGTCGACAACTGTACATACTCTCCCGAAGAGTCGATCAAGGTATTATTCACTTCGTGTTACCCCGCATCCCTATTGATCATTTAGGCTGTTGCATTTTTTTTTGCTACAGGCCTGCTGAATGCAAGTTTGCGCAGGGAAGCAGATGCCGCCATCGCGCTGCTAAAAGAACACGTAAGGAACAAATTCGTTCCACTCAAAATGGCCACAATCATGGGGCTCGTTGTCGCACGCGCAGGCTCGCACTGCGACTTTCCTCTTTCCTGCAGTCGCAGGCAAGGGCGTGCCGATGAAGATCGCTGCGCTCAACACGCTCGCACTTGGTATTCGTGTTCGCAGGCAGTGGAAACGGGGAGATTACGAGCACGATCTTGCAGACCCTCGTGGAGAGAGATAATAAGGCTTTGGATGAGAAGTGGGGACGATTGGTGGCGTCGGGGTTGGCGCTGCTTTATGTTGGTACGTTTCCATAGGTTCTTGTGAGTCAAGGTATGTGCTGAGTCGGAGTTGTAGGCTTGTGGGATGCTTCGGATGCCACGCTCGGGACGCTGAAGTCGATTTAGCACTGTATTTCAAGACAGGCACGGAGGTGTGCTCCTTCGTCGCCACCTTGATGCTCTCAAAGAGTAGGAGCAAGCTCAGAGCGCGGAGCGGAACAAGGATGAGAAGGATGAGAAGAAAGAAGATAAGAAATCCAACGATGCATTGCACTTGGTATTGCGATGATCACCATGGGCGAGGGCATCGGTGCCGAGATGTCGGTGAGACAGTTCAACCACTTGGTATACCATTTTGGCAGAAATAATGTCCTGTCGTCTGACTAACGAGTATAATTCTCAGATGCACTACGGCGATCAAATTATCTGCAAATCTGCCCTCCTTGCTCTCAGCCTCGTCAGCGCGTCAAATCTACAGCTCCCCGTTCTGGACACGCTCTCAAAATATAGCCATCACTATGAGCTCACGGTCGCACTCGACGCTATCTTTGCAATGGGCCTCGTCGGCATAGGCACGAACAATGCATGGCTCGTATGTTGAATTGAAGGGTGAAGGGGACACAGAACTGGCTGAAGAGCGTATGAGGGTGAAAATCGAGTGCATCGTGAACGGCAGGAAGTGAAAGACAGTCATCTGCATAGAACGATACGATCTAATTACTCTGTCATCCGCTGGAGGGAATGCATACAGAAGGCACGTGCATCGGAGCATGGTGAAAGTCGGCCCTAGTTGCAAAAAAGGAAGTTAAGAGATATGAATTTCGCCTAACCCTTTGGCAGCCTTTATGTGAGTCCCCAAACAACAAGAGCATCGTACCAATAACGGGGCAATTTAAATAGTGGAATAGATATCCTCTCATGTCAACATCTTTCACCAACTATCTTCTAGCCTCTGTTAGCACCGTCACTATCCATCCCGTTCGTCGCACGAAGGACGAAATGGACATGCTCATGAAGAGTGAGTTGGGCAAGCAAGACGAAGACTCCCGCGTTCTGTGGGAGGAGGACCTCCAACCTGCGACCTCCATCCTTCAGATCCTCATCCCGCCATCCAGTCTTGGAGAATCGGAAATTCGAAAGATCGCTTACATCAAACAAGTACCGGGGGAGAAAACTCGAATACATGGGACTACCATTTTCGATAAACAATGGAAGCTCAACTTGAAGAATCCCTTTCCGAGGCAGAGGAAACGTAGTATGCCAATTCGGCGTGCTCCGTTGCATGCTCGTACCAAGTCGCAGACAGATACCGAGTCGCTGACAGATACCGAGTCACAGACAGATACCGACGTGGAAGGTGATTCCATGCTAGAGACGGAAGGCAGCTTGGGAGAGCAGGCTTTCGTCAAGGTTGGAAGGAAGAGAGCAAAGTCTGCAGAGGAGCCGGAAGAAAAGAATTGGGAACGTCTTTTCCGGGCGATATACTATTATATGCGCGAGATGCTCAAGGAGCAAATTCAAAAGCGCAATAGTGGTCACTCGCGACCCTTTCGCCCTCTACCCTTCAAAGCACTAGCAGATCTCCGGTACTGGTCCTCAGAGTTCGCTACCAGTCCTATTCCGGACGCCACTGATTCGCGGAAGCCTGACCTTGTCCTCCTGGACTACAGGCTCAGAAAGTTAGATTCCTCCGAAAAGTCCTGGAAGGACGTCCTCACAGGAATCGAGATCACCCAATCTGATCTTTCCAGCGATCGCAAAATTCCTTTGTTCTTGGGCATCGTCACCAAGGGTTATCTGATGATGCGGGAGCAACCATGGCGTCGTTTCATCCTGCTTTTCAGTATCTCCAAACTCAAACTTCGTGCCCATTATTTAGATCGCTCTGGCATGGTGGTATCAGAACCACTCCAGATTGATAGATTCCCCATACGTTTTGTCGACGTCTTAAATACTATCACTTTGGCAAACCGCTCCTCCCTTGGCTTTGATCCAACAATTCACATCTGCAACTCTTGTAACACCGTCCCAAGTCACACCAATTTGCCGGACGGCTTCGATACCATGCTTCCCGGGGCGATAGGCTGGGTTTACGATAACGACCAGAATGTGTATTGGATCATGGAGATTCTATGGAAAAGCCGCGGATTTTTCAAGCGCGGAACCGTCTGTTATCGCGTTCGAGACAAGTTTGGTCGGGAGTACGCGCTGAAGGATTGTTGGGTCAACGAGGACGTCAAGGATGTCGAAATAGACTTTCTGAAAGCGGTCGACGGCATCCAAAATGTGGTTCAACTCGTCAAATATTGGGATGTACTTTATGATGGGCAGCCCGACTCCACATCGCACATTCGTAGTCATTGCCCGACATTCGTATTTGAGAAAAAAATTCATCGCCGTATTCTCTTGACACCCTGTGGGCTCCCACTGACGCAATTCAACGACATACCTGAGCTTATCGGGGTTTTTCGTGACCTCGTGGTTGGTGAGTTTTTTTCGCACACACGAAGTCTTCTTTTAATCACCATGAATTGTAGCCCACAAGGCCATGGTTGGCCGACGTGTCCTTCATGGAGACCTCAGCCCTAATAATATTATCATTTACGAAGGAAAAGGTTACTTCATAGACTTTGACCATGCAAAGTTTCTCGACACTGGTGGACAAGCTAACAAGAGTCCACGTGGTACTGTGCGTTATATATTTTTTCTGCGCATGTTAATCTCATAGACCACAGGGAACCGTACCATACATATCCTTCCGCGTTCTCCGCCTAATGGGAGATGGCGATTCGTTCCGACACACGCCCTGCGACGATCTCGAGTCGCTCTTCTATATCCTGCTCGAATTCACTGTTATGTATTTAGGACCCAAGGGTGCACTGGCCCCCCAACCTGACGAAGAAAATTTGAAACGGGACCCCGTTCGGAGGTGGGGGCTCGCCTATGAGAGTTTGACACGTGATGGTCTCGCGACCAGCAGCATGTGGAAGCGGGAGTTCATCCATGGTCTCACTGATTTTCCGCTAATTACCTCGTACTTCACCCCCTGCCGCCCCCTCCTCGATGAGTGGCGTCAGGCGATTTCATTCGCAAGTACTCAGTTGACGACCATCTCTCACGATAACATTTGTGATGTTCTAACACGGGAGTTAAGCTCGATCAGTCAGCAACTTGCCCAAACACCTCCTGCACTTCCATCCACGCTGGAGCCAACGATAGCTCTGTCGTCTCCTGCTGCACCACTCACATCACAGCTGGTTACAACCGTCGCCGCGTCGCTTACAGTGTCTCCATCTGTGCCCGTCAGTGCGACAACTGTTGCCCTGCCGCTTCTTCATCCTCCCTTAGCTGTCCGTCGTACTCGTCGTTCAAATCGGATGTATGGCAAACGCTAGCTTTCTGGTCGAGTTTTTCGTTTACGATATACATCTTTGTAGAGTCTGTCCTCCGCAAAACGCACTCACTACATCCGATACCTCGTATGTTCACCTTTGTTGTTCGTTTAATCAAGGCGGATTGAGTGGGATTCGTCGTCATCACCTTGGTGCTACATCGCTGCCTACCCCGATCCTCTTCTCGCTCCCATCTAAGAATGTCACGTCCGTGCGCTTCGCTCCCCTACTGATGTTCACGATAAAAATGAATGGAACTAGTGTATGGGGCAGAACTGCCAGCTAAACTGGTTGATTTCCGGGGCGGAAGAACTAGACTATCATGATGTGTGTAACATTCCTAACTATAGACACTGGGTAGTAAATCCAATGAAATTCATTAGGTGAAATAAGGTGATAATGTAATGAAATTCACAGTACAAGTGTGCTGAAATCGAGGTGCTGAAAGTTCCGATTTTTACTCTGAAATAATGTGCTGAAATTCTGCTCGAGAATGACAAAAATGAATATTCATCAGGAAAAACCTCTCACGGGAATTCCGCTGAAATCCTCAAACTCGCATGTAAAACAGCTGAATTCCAGAAACTCTGCTAATTTGACCGAAATCGTTGTATCTCGAAAGTAATAAAATCTACTGGTCAGATTCAACAGAAATTGTTGTATTTGTCGTTTCTGGTGGCACACGAGCGCGGAGGAGGAGAGAGCTAGACAAGCAAATATATTATCTCAGTATCGGGAAGACACCTGTACCTGTATGTTTGATGTATCACTACCTATAACTACAAATGATTCGAGATACAATAATTGCTGAGGGCCACAGATGGTGTGATACATCACTATATTGTAGACTATAGGTTCCCTATGACCCTACTACATTGCTTGGCCGTGTCCGTGTATAGTAGTGCTATGTGTTCCCTTGTTATAATACCTTTCCGCTGATGAGATCGCGAGATCCATCTCAGATCATCATGCCAAGTCTGGAGTGTCATCGAGATCGCAAGATCGTGTCATTAATGTGCCTATTCCAACTCTACCTAGTACATAGAGTAACCTGACTGCTCTTCAAACTCTACGACCACAGGAGGTGCATCAATCGAAGGACCACCATCATCATCTACCATGGACTCTGAGACCACACGATTGAGTTGAGGAACAAAGTTCCAACGAGCTTGGAACGAATTTTGCATCGCAAAACGGAGGGCAGCTTGACAGTATGCATATGCATGTAAGCCCTCTTGTTGGGTTATCTTCTCTAATGGGCGCAGAACTGCACGCTCTTGCCACCAGTTGCCTTGCCACTCCAGAAAGGTCAGTACTCGTCTCATTTCTTCAGCTAGTAACTCCACTTCCTCAAACCATTGAGCTGCGCGAGCACGTGCCTTACACCACTCAATGCGGACACCTAAATAAGACTGAGCCAGAGATCATGCCATCCATTTAAATCACTTACAGTCTTGAACACGCTCGTTCTCAGAGTGACTAGTGTCACCGTCCGATACCAGCCAGATCCATGATATGGTACCAGTACCCTGAGAACGGCCAGCTGCAAAATCACCCATCGGTTGAGCATCCTCGTGTCTGAGAGGTCGAAGTCTTTCCTCCCAGCCCATCTTATCCACCCAAGAGCTTAGCGACTCCAGTGCTTGGTGTGCACATTTGTATTTGTCCACTGCTGCATCTTTCTTTGCCTCGACACTTGCGATCAAATTCTGGGCATGGGTGGATGCTGCTTGACCACGTAAGTGCTTGTCCTTAAATTTGTACATGTGTGAGCATAGACGAAGATGGGAACGGAGTTCGTTGAGGGCATCATGAGCTTGTGCCCACCGAAGTTCCCACTCGTACTCCATCAAACATTGATCGCAGTTGAGATAGTTTAGAGCCGATGGAAGATAGAGTGGGAAATCTTGAGGCCTGAGTGCTGCTTGTGGAGCGCTCGCACTCATGTCAGCCGATGAACGTAGCGTTGAGATGATGGGCATGTAGAGTTGTTGATAGCGTGTCCAAGAATTGATATGTCTCTGTAATGCGCTAGTCCTGTGGATGATGGCCTCTCTCTGTTTGTCTGTGGGATGAAGCGAGAGGTTCGCAATGTCGCGTTTGAGTCGTTGTCTGTCATAATATGTGAATGATGAACATAATGTGAAAGAGACACTTCACGTACTGCATGTCTTCTAATTCAATGCCACCACTAATAAGCACACTGGGGGAGACATCGATGTTGAGTGAGTGATTTATCCCTGCCTGCGAATCTTGTGCTTCTGATTCTGCGAGCTGCGACCTTACCGCAGCCTGTGTGATAGCTATATGTTGACCCATCAGCAAAATTGACAGAATGAATGGGCAGTGACTTACGAGCGACCTTGCTCTCGAAAGGATTTGGACGAGTGTTGTCCTCCTCCCATGTCTGAACTTCCAACTCCCACTCTTCCAGCAGTGCAGGCTGGACAGTTGCCTCCAGGTCGCACAACGCAGCACAATGTTCCCGCTCCCATTTTGTGGCCTCTTCCATCTTGCACTTCAATGTACGACCTTCAAGTCAAGGTAGTATCAGACAGGAATATAATTGTCGATAGCAAAAAACTCACCAAGTGTTGTTGTCTTCTTCCAATTCCAATCACCAAAGTGATCATCCAATGTATCACATCGTGTTCCTGGCCCCATCTCCTTCGTGCTTGATGCAATGCGATTAGCATTCGCCCAACCCCATTCTGGCACCTCCCCGTCTGTCCTACCCACCCACTTAGTGAGGTTCCACGAGAAATTGACTTGACAGGCTGCAACGTGGGCTGCAATGTGAAACTTTGGCACAAAATATTGAACCAGCATGTTATTACGTGGTATGTGAAGGTGAGTTGGCATGTGATCCATTCTGTTCCACAGCTTCTTGGACCATTGGCATGCGATATCGTACGAAATATTGAGCATTGTTACTGTGAATCCGACCAGCGCTGAGAAGACAAGGTAATCCATATTGAGGTACCTAATAACATGTCAACTAACTGAATAGAAAAAATGCAGAAGACATACCTTTCGCCCTTCTGTAGATCACCTACCCCGTTTGGCAACTTGAATTCATGTCGAGCGCAGTTGATGGTTCCTATGCCGGTTGCTGCCAGGCCTCGTGAGGATTTTGTATCGGCCATATTGACAGCATTATGACTGACACAAGTACTGCACTAAGGGAACATTGAGTGCATTGTCCTATGAAATAGTAGACTATATACAACATACCTCTTGTCTTTCGCCAGCTCGCTCAGATAAGTAACTCTTGTATGTGCGCTCCTCCACGAAGTAGGCCCATCCCGCATTCAAACCAGGATCCATTTGGTCAGAGGAGACAGCCTTCCATTTGAGACAAAAATTCGCATCTATAGCGATGAAAAGGGCATACAGCCATCTGTTAAACCGGGTGAGCTAAACATCCTCCTTCAACCATCAAACTTACCTCATTCCTGGAGGTGAATGCTCCCAACCGCTAGGCAAATTTTTGCCTGGATGTGGGCATGCCAGACACAGCACTGCAAGCTCGCCGGCTTTCGTTTCTGCAATGCCACCAGGGTCATGACCTCGCCCACCACGCCTGAGTTGTCAAAGGTTCCGCCATTCATGGACCATTCGCATGAATGCAGAATAACGATCCTGCATGGCTGAAGTTTGAGTAACTGTTTGGTTAGCATTTAAATTTGAGACTTACCCTGATGGGCGACAATCCAGTATTGTCAGTGCGCCTGGCTAAACCATGGAAAAACTTGTAGGCAGAAATCTTAGATTCGTATGATAGAAGGTGAAAATGCTCAAGCACATTGAATGTAGCAGCTGTTTGTGGATCTGTCGTAGTTGCAGGATACCATCGCGCTCATAACAGCTGTTTGTAGCGCACTTGTGCAGTATCGCAGCCACAAAAATCCAATGCAACCTCATGAATACTGTTAATGTTGATAACAACGAAATCGTCGGCCTTTGAGGGACGCGGATTGAAACAGCGGTCACTGGGAGTGTGGCCCAGCTGAATGCGCAAACCAAGGGTCTTGAGTTTGATGCGTTGAAAAAATGAGCCATTCCACTCCTGTGCGGTGTTAGCACTATGCATATTGTATATCTAGGGAACACATACCTCAATATTATGCAATGGGCTGCATTGATGGTGTTTGACGATACAATAATGGCAGGCCATCTCCATCCCAAAGCAGTCCCTACAGCGGTACTTGGGACCATTATCATGATTGCCGCAGCGGCAGTGTGTTCGCTGGGCTTCCTGAGCACGACCCTCCAAGAAAATTGTCTCATCAAGGAAGGATTGACGTTCTGGCAGCCAGGCAAGGAGCGGGTTATTCTACAAAAATTTGAGTATGCTACTAGTACAAATCAATTATATCACTTACTGCAGGGTGCCATTTTCGCTTATCTGGAAGATCATCACCCATAATGAGCGGAAGATCATAACACGGAGATACTTCCGCCCAGTCATCATAGTCTGGCCAATCTTGAATGGTGTGCGGTGCACATAGCGAACCACTTTCAGATGCTTCACTCTTGAGTGTGGCCTCACTGTGCAAAAGATAAGCAGTTTGTAGAGCAGTACACCCATCATTGAATGTATATTCCCGAATTTGTTGGACTACTGGCGTTGACGTTAAGGACGGTTAAATGAAATGCTCAAAACTTGAATGCAGCTTTGGTTTTTTAGCGGTCCGTGTCATGGCAGAGTACAATAGCAGCCCAGTGTGTGAACTGTCAACATGGCAAATCATTCTGAAAGTTACATGTAAGAGTTCATCAGCTTTGAATAGATCACACACTTACTTCGTACCGTACCATGAACGTGTGTCAACAATATTGATTCCAGTAAGGTGACAAGACATGATTATTGTGGGTACCATTCCCTGACACAAACAGTTTGCTCGAGGCATGCTGGATAATGGGGTGCTGGGGTGCTTGGATGCCAGACTCCCATCAAACAGAAGATATGTCGCTCGCGACAACGCAAGATATCATGCGGCAGAAGATGTGTACAGATACCAGGTGTGGAAGATCATATAGTGTACGAGAACCCATCCCGATGATGGTGTCCTGAAAATGAGTATCAGCGTCGTTGAAAATGAGAGAAATATAGTGCACCTCGCTTGGCCCTCCCCCTAGGAAAATGTACGACGATGACCAGCATAAGTGTTACGACTAGGATAGGTCGAGCTCTCCCTAGGCGGATTGCCTAATCTGATAGCGGGCTCGCTACTGGAGAGACGGGGATCTTCTCTCGAATGAGAGGTTCGGGGGTTCCACTAAAGGTAGCGTCGGCTTTCCTTTAGGTGCGGCTTAGACTGAGTGATTGGGATATTCACACAGAGGAAGTTCTGATGAAAACCTAGTAGAATCAAGTAGGGAATATACATGATTCTGTCTGCTCTATATACTGTCGTCCGTGTGCACAGACCAATACTACGTTCGGCAGGTAGGTATGAGTGTGTCTATACAAGGGCATCTTATCTGATGCCATGCGGGCGATTATCTATCCATGAGGCGTAGCACGCCTCTTCTATCAGTCCTCAAGGATAAACATGCCTTGTAGTTTAACTGCGCATGCTGCGGCATGCGGCTTCTCTTCTGACCATGAAGCAGAGCTTCTCCATGATCCGGGTCGAGGACCATCTAGGTCCGTCCAGATGTAGCCTAGGCTGGTCTAGGTCATCTAACGGCATCCAGGCCGTTCTAGGCGTCTCTACGAGTCTCCGTTGAGTCGGTAAGTCTTTCCAAGACGGTGCATATGGCGGGATAGGGGCTAAGGTCATGATGACCTCCGTAGGAGGGGTTCTCGGATACATGTTATTGTAACATTACCTCCGTTTCTGGGTCGAAGTCTCCGACTACGACAAAACTCTCTCCCGGGTTTCTTCGTCTGGAGTGGCAGTGGTACTGCGGGTATAGGAGGGAGTGGGCGAGCGCGGCGCGGGGTTGTTCGCGATTAGTTCTTCTAGCGCGACGTGGTTCTTCTCCCAATCTACGAGGAGTTCGTAGTATTCCTCGTCGTCTCGAAACTCTGGGAGGGATGATTCTTCTCCGAGTTGAGGGCAATGGACCGACAGGTGGTTGGGTCCGATTTCGCTGCAGATGCAGCACACAGCGTCTGGACACTTTCTAAAGGTGTGTCCGTATCCTCCGCATCGTCGACAGATGCAGGTGCGGTCTACTCGCGCTTTCTTGGTAGGGCGCGGGGGTCTTTCTAATCTCTCTCCAACGCGTTTCTTCGCGATGTCTACAAGGTCGCTGAAGTTGTCGGGGAGGAGGTGTAGCGCCATTGCGCGGATTTTCTTCTGGTCTTCCAGCACTATGAGGGCTCTAGTTGCTGGGTCTAAGTCTTCACGGTTCACCGATATTTCTAAGTGTCGCGTGGTGCGGATGATGTCTATCACCAGTGATGCAGAGGCGGCGATGTTGACATCTGACTGTCCTAGAATGTCGCTGATTTCTAGGAAGTGATCTGGGGAGAGAATGGCCGTTTCGGCGACGGCGCCTTTCTCGAGGTGGTCGAGGATTTTGGAAAATCCCGAGTTCTTTAGGGGAACGATGACGGAGGCTTCGATGTTGTTAGGCATGATTGTTGCGAGAGTTTCTGGCGAGTATATCGTTGTAGAGGGTTTATATGGGCCTCCAAGAGTGCTCTAAGCTCCGCTTGATCAGTTAACTTATCTTTTAATCTTTTTATCAAAGTTCAATCATGAAGGCGTGGAGTGCCTCATGGTTCTCTTGGCAGAGGGGGAAGTCACCATGCCAGTGCATTCGAAGGATAGTTTCGAGTCATTCCGGACTATCAGAAGCAGAAGTTTTGCGTCATTGCGGACGTGCGTGTCTTGATCTTTCGTTTTGGTCGAATTCTGTCAAGATCTGGGGTATGTCGTTTCGAGATGTTGATTTCTCGATCGGCGTTCTAGAGGGTTCCATGGGCTTGCAGGAGTTTCCATGGAGTTCATCTCGTGATAGTTTAGCGTCTTTTCCGGACAGAGGTGAAGGTAAGGCATCCGGGGCTTGCAGGAGTTTCTCGGTGTATTAGTCTCGTCTTCAAAGTGAAGGGGTCCGTGTCTCCGGGTTCGTCCTTCTATTCTCAGTTTAAGGTCGTGATGGACTCAGGATAGTTTAAGGTCTTTCCGGACCGAGGATAGTTTCGAGTCATTTCGGACTTCTGCGCAGTTTATAGTCGTGCCGGACTCCTGGCGATTGTCGATATTTATAGATAAGGGTGCAGCCGGGGTGAGGGGAATTAAGAGTGAAATGAGTTTTAAATGAGAATTTCACCCCCCAAGTAGGCCGTTTGATCACCGATCAAATCTAAAAGTCTAAATCAAGGTTTCCGCAGTCAGGGTCGGACTGATCCGTGACTGGTGCGATCTCTCCCTGGAATAATCTAACATCCACAGGGTCGTCCTGGTGGGGACAGTGTCTTGCGATACGCTTTATCGTTCGCTGAAAGTAGTTCTGTTGTTTAATCCGATCTACTTCCATCGGAGTCATCGCGGGTTCTTCTGCTATGGCAGGGGCCGCGGAGGTGGTTTTAACGACTATCTCGTCGTTATCTTCATCATCAGTCGTCATCATTTCTATATCGGCTTGTGTGGGCATGAGGAATGGGCGAGTGACTGGTGCGGTTCTCGATCTTTCTGGAAATGAAACGATCGGTTCGGCCCGGTTGATCCATTGATCAGCAGCCGGTTCTTCTTCTGCTAGTTTATACTCTTGGCAGAGTTTCTTCGGTGACGGTGTTTCTGCCGTGACTACCGATCTACCTTTTCCAAGAACGGAAGCAGGTTCTGCTGAAAAGATGTACTTCTGAGTTTTCTCCGGTTCAGGGGCCGGTCTGGGGATCTTTGCACGAGGTGGCTCCTCGTCGAAAGTGGCTCTGCCTTTTCCTAAGATCTGGGCAGGTACTGCAGAAAATCTATATTTATCTGCGGGTGGTGAGGTGGCAACTAAGTCCGACTGTCTCGTGGACTTCTTCTCGACGTTCTGGGAAGTCGAGGCGCGGGGTTCCAACGGCTTGGTAGCCGGTGCGTACTCGAGGATTTCGTGGAGTTCCTCGATCGGGGTTAATGTCGGATTGAATCTCCGTCTTCCCGAAGTTAGTTTCGACTCGTTTCGGAGATCTTCCATCGGCGAATCAGCCGGTTCTGGTAGTTTAGCCTCATTCCGGAGGTTCTGCGTGACAGGTGCTTCTGTCAGATCTAGTTTATACTCATCTCGGAGTTCTTCTGTCTTCTTCGTCAGGGTGCCTACCTCCCTTCTTTGGCGCGTGTTTCGCGTCCTCTTTTCTCTACGGAAGAGCGGCTTCAACCCGTTCCTCTTCCTACCTCTCTCAATCATTCTCTCAAGTCCTTTTGACTTGTCAGTGGCAGGGATAGTTACCGTACCCTTCTTCCAATCTATGGAAGGTTTCACAGCGGCCAGCCATGTGAATCCGAGTAGGATGTCGTCTAGGCGCGGGATTATGATGAATCGTCCGTGCATTACTCGGTCGTCGATTTTTATAATGAGTCTGCAAAATCTTTTGCCTCCATCGACTATCGTTCCATCTCCGTTCATTACCCGTTTTGGTGTCTGAAGGAGGTGCGTTCTAATGCGATATTTCTTGCAGAATTCGCTGCTTATAAATGAGTCGCATGCGCCCGAGTCTATAACCATGGTGGTTGCAACGGGCGGCTTAGTGGTGGACATTAGGGTGGCGACAACCCGTAGTTCTTTCTTCCTGGATACACTTTTCTTGTTAATTATTAGCGGTCCAGTCTTCTCCTTACCAGCCGCTGTCTTGCGGACTGTTTCTTCTTCGATAATCTTTCTCCTTATCGGGCACTTGTGGTCGTTGGCTTTGTGTCCAACGTGATGGCAAGAAAAGCATCGTCGTTGCTTCAGGTGGTGTCTTGTCTCCATTCCTGAAAGGTTGGCGGCGGCGTCGGTATTTCTTCTAATCATCATGCTCTGTGTTGGTGCGTTCATGGTAGAGGGAGTAGTGCGAAGGGACAGTGATGGGCTTAAGGATTTAAAGCTTCGTACGTCTGTCTTGACAATTTGTGGATAGCTTTACGCCGGTCTCGGCGGTTTGGTCACGAGAGTAGAGGTCTACGCTTGTCTCAGCGGTGCGGTCGGGGTCAGTTTCAACGGCGGTGCGTGATGAGCAGGGCCGGGAAAGTAAGACTTGATTCTTTTGTTACGACTAGGATAGGTCGAGCTCTCCCTAGGCGGATTGCCTAATCTGATAGCGGGCTCGCTACTGGAGAGACGGGGATCTTCTCTCGAATGAGAGGTTCGGGGGTTCCACTAAAGGTAGCGTCGGCTTTCCTTTAGGTGCGGCTTAGACTGAGTGATTGGGATATTCACACAGAGGAAGTTCTGATGAAAACCTAGTAGAATCAAGTAGGGAATATACATGATTCTGTCTGCTCTATATACTGTCGTCCGTGTGCACAGACCAATACTACGTTCGGCAGGTAGGTATGAGTGTGTCTATACAAGGGCATCTTATCTGATGCCATGCGGGCGATTATCTATCCATGAGGCGTAGCACGCCTCTTCTATCAGTCCTCAAGGCTAAACATGCCTTGTAGTTTAACTGCGCATGCTGCGGCATGCGGCTTCTCTTCTGACCATGAAGCAGAGCTTCTCCATGATCCGGGTCGAGGACCATCTAGGTCCGTCCAGATGTAGCCTAGGCTGGTCTAGGTCATCTAACGGCATCCAGGCCGTTCTAGGCGTCTCTACGAGTCTCCGTTGAGTTGGTAAGTCTTTCCAAGACAGTGCATATGGTGGGATAGGGGCTAAGGTCATGATGACCTCCGTAGGAGGGGTTCTCGGTTACATGTTATTGTAACAATAAGCTCATCGTCCAAGTCCCCTACAAACAGCAAAAGCTCTTGCTCCATTGACAAATCAGAGTGCACTGCTGCAAACACTTTGTAAAGCGGTGTAAGCACAGCCTTGTCACGGATGTCGAGTTCAACAATACAATGGCCAGAACTGAGAGAAGTGATGGCAGAGAATAGGGCAGAAATTGCACAGAGAGCTGGAAGAGTGATTGGCGATAATGAGAGGGCTGGTTCGTGGTTTCGCAGGATAAGAGTGCGCAGGGAAGGAATAGTCTCAAGAAACAGGATGAAACCAAGCAGAACTCTGGGGCGGTCTTTCTGGATGGAGAACTTGACGTCGAGAGCTGTAAGTGGGGGAGATGGAGAGGAAGATGTAAAAGCATGGTGGACCCAGATGGTATGATCATATGTGAGAGTGCGTCAGGCCATTGGCATGAGCAGCGGTCCAGACGAGTGAGGGCGCAGGTGTCAGAGAGTGCAGAAGTGAAAACAACCAGATCCATTTAGTAGTATGCTGAGGCAGATACGTTCAAGCCAAGATATCAACGAAGGGAGATGATACTGTAGTGATGGCACGGCGGTAGGAATTTTTCTGCAGATCACGTGATTTGTGAGGAGAAATTTTATATCTCTCGAAATGCCTAGGCATGAGTGAGGCCCAAGATGCTAGAAAGTTCGGTTTAGCGTGCTTCAATCAGGCTATCAACGAGATCGTGGATGTACTGGAAGGAATGAGTCTGCGTGCCATCGCCATAAATGGTCATATCCTCGCCGTGCAGGGCTTGGACAATGAAGTTGGACACCACACGGGCATTGTGAGGGTTCACTGTGGGATCAACCTTAGATCAGCGATTAAAACGAACTCCGGGGACCTAAGGGGTGATAGTTAAGTAATAGAACACAGCAAAGAGTGTAAGACTAACCGTAAGTGTTAAAGATACGTGCAACCTGAACATCCACGCCATCCTGATGATTGAAGCCATATGTGAGAGTTTCCGCAACACATTCTCCCTCATCATAGCAGGCACGAGGGCCTATCGGGTTAACGTGACCCCAGCTACAATATAATAAAAAAGACACAATCAGAAGCAAACTGAGTATGGCTCACTAATCTTTTGGTTGAGGATGAACTTGATTACTCGCCATCTCGAGGAAGAAAAGCTATAAGAATTTTGGCTGCAAATATTTGAGCACAATGAGAATAAAAAGATGGAAGGGACGAACAAGCGTCATTGCATGTGCTTGTAGAATCAAATAAGGCACGCGCACTGACTTCTCCAGCGAGGCCGAACCGCGCCGAGACGAATTTTTGAATAAGACAAATGACCTGGTAGTGTCAACCGCAGAGAGAAAATGACAGAACAAGACGTCAACTGAGAAGTGGCGTGAGTAAATGGGAAGACAGGCTGGCATGATCGGGCATGACAGAATTTTGGCGGCAAAAAGGGAATATCCAGGCCCAGTTATCGAGGAGAAGTACGAAGAAGCACGAGAAAGCCTGAAGAAGCATGATGCCATCAAACGAAGGCCAGGTACCAGGTCCAGAGAACTGTGGGTTCAGTACTGGACCAGGATCCTCCACTAATGTATCAATCCTACAAACAGCAGATACCTATGTACTATAGCAATTGTTGTATCTGGATTGCCCTACCACAGTAAGTACTTAATGTATCATTCTTACAGTATGGCCTGGGGAAGAGACTCTGCATGTACATAGATAGGCACCTAGACAAGCAAATATATTCTAAGGGTATATTAGCTCATATGAAACGAAAGGAAATGATATAAGGCTTACATCTCAGTATCGGGAAGAGACTGAGATGCGCACATGGCTAGGATGTTGTTTTAAACTATGGGGGCACAGAGAAAATAGGAAAGAAAATAGGAAATGAGTTTAAGACCTTTGGCACTTGGCCGATGTCATGAGTGGGTGCATGACGGATGCGCTCGTACCTCTCATCCTGAGATCTCCGTCTTTACTTCTCCCGACAGTATTTCCAATGAACTTGGAGTAAATTCCGCCAGTCAGATTATAGTGAGATAAGCATGCCTGTCACTGAATGAGTTTACGAAGAAGCTAGAACAAAGCTCCAGAACGGTACTGCTCGTCCATTCATGAGGTACAACTGGGCCAAATTTTGGAATAAGGTGTACACTCCTGCGAATATCAGAGATATTGATGATGCTCGCGAGACACTCTCCATTATGAATGACACGGGAAATTTTGTACAAACCATGGTTTGCTTCAGGTTGCCCAAATGGCATGAACCACTCCACATAAGCAAAGTGGGTAGGTGCCTTGGCAGGTGTGCAAAATAAGGCAGCCGCAGCATGACTTCTCAGTGTGAAGATGACACGGACTTGTGCAACATGATACCCTGAAATTCACGATCAAATATTAGTGTAGTAAGGGAGTAGTACAAAAACATGCACCATTAACACCCGTTGGCCCACCATCACCTTTGTTGACTAAAACAGTGTCAAAACATCCAGGGATAATATACCCTTTGTTGTCCTTCCATGGTGGTTGACAATGCACTGAATCGATTGTAGCTGTTGGGTCACAATATCCACTGGTGTTGATTGTGCGAAATTTGACCCTATGGAATGTGGTGACAGTCTGGAAGGGAAGGACAATGTGGGCAGCTTCTCGTTTGAGTTGCACTGCAAACAAAGTGGGTTGATTGGTGCTGTAAGTCGGTGTACGACTCGCGAGTGCAAAGGGGTGTGGAGACCGCTGGAGGATATACGAGCGCTAAAGAGTAGATAGCTATCAGCGAACGTTAGACAATAGGGAATGTGATGATTTTGAGACATTTTTAGATGATAGTTATAGTTATATTAATGAATGCGAGAGTGAGACTTCGAGACTGGGTATGATTGCCTGTCAGTATGGACTGTACATGGGCTACTTATACTTTAGAATAGTAAGGGTCCTTATTGATGGCTAGGCCGAAATTGAATGCGAAAAACAGAGTCTGAAGGTAGAATTGTCGTGTCCGAGAAGGTAGAGTAGATGTAGCGCGAAAGAGTACGAAAATGAGCGAGCGGAGGTATGAATGGGTATGGTTTGACAGGATAACGAGAGTGCGCATGGGTTTGACAGTTTTCGGCGGTTCGGCTGCGAGCAGGATAATGGAGACGAGAATAATAAGGGTCGATTATACGAGGCATTGATGGGGAACAAGGATAGGATGATGATGAGGTCCGTGCTGAAGTTTTCGATGGTGATGGTAGAGGTGAGTGTTACTTCGGCTATTTCTGGCGTCAACCACTCGGTATTCCTTACAGTGTGAATGACATAATGAGCTAACACCTCCATGAAAAATGTGGCACTGTAATCACAAATGATACAGTCCAATGGAACATGTTTTGCAGTCGGGTGTTTAGTCATCTTGAGTGTGTGATGATAGTCCATGTCAGGCGGTAACCTGTCTTGTACAGGAGAATCACTAGTGAGGCGCCATTGGACAAAATTATTGTGCCATACCATCTTCTTGCATCTTTCAAGCCAGAGGGTCATTTGTGGATACTCGTCTTTATGGTTGGTAGTCCTGTAAGCATCCTTTGCAAGATCAATATGTAAGTGCTCAGTGTACTCGGTGTTGTAGTTGTCAGTTGTGCCATATAGTTTGATCATATGCACATAATGATGGAAGAAATGAAGTTTCGGAAGATCGAAATTAGCTCAAATCCCGAGATCGACAAATATCCCCTTGTTGTTGTGAAAGCGCGTGAAAGCGTCATCAAGAAGGTTGAGAGTTTGATCAGTGTGGCAAGGGTACTGAGCAAGGTAGAGGAAGTCGAGGATGGCACAAACAGCATGAATAAGGTGAGCACTGTCAATATTTCCAGGCAATCAGATATCAATGGTGACACCAAGCAGGAAGCAGTATATTTGGTTGTGTTCTGTTCCGCTGACATGGGAAAGGCTACTGATACCTTTCATAAATAGGCGAATGTTATGGTTTGGTGGAAGCCTGCGACAACGAGCATCAATCTCGGCCTCACTGTATGCTTCCTTGATCCACTCAATCAGATGTTTGATGATGCCCTGATAGAGCTGATGCAATACATCTGGCGTAATTGACTGGAAGATATTAGCGTGCAGGAGGTCCTCCCAAAATGGTTTGAAGACTGGCTGATCCCACACTCCTGGCATGCTCTCATCCACATGCTGTAGTCCTCATCAACCAGCAACAACGCAGCAAGAATTGCTATAAGGTCTCAAAGCTTCACAGGAATGTCTGGACATCCCAGCTCGTCCTGTGGAACGTCGCACTTTGGACACTCTCCTGATTTAATTCCTGTCGTCAGCAGTTGTTCTGGGTAATCTGCAGAATAACAGGCAAGAATAGGATGTCCTCAGCATACGACTCCATCCCCACTCACCATGGCAACACCGTCTTCTCCGGGGACTCTCAATGGCTCTAAGATTTGATGCAAGCAGGCGTGGAATAGATTAGTTGAAGTCCGACATCTAGCTGCCTTGTTGGTAATGTGTTTGAGTTTTGCAGTTGGCAGATATATGAGAAGGATCCATGCTCGTCGAGATGGTTTTTGATGAATTTCCTTTGGAATATTCTCTATTGTCATGTAGACCAGATACATGGATTTGTTTCTGAACATGGTGACCTGAGTTTTGTCTGATGAAAGGATAATGGGTATGACAGTGGCTCTGTGTTTCTTGGTCTCAAGCTCTTTCTGTATTGTGAGGCCATGGTAAGCACTTGTGGGCAACATGAATTTATGATCACTTGCCTGGGTAGACCACCACCACTTGCCTGTGTGAAGATCGTAATACATTCTCACAGTCTTGTTCGGAATTAACATAATGGTGCTTGGGAGCATGAAGGAGATGTTGTGAGAAATATGGGTCTGAGTAGAGAGCTTTGACACACTCCATAATATCGTGTGAGTATACATCAAACACCTCATTGGCAACAATGATCTCTTCGTGTTTGAAACATGGTCGTCTGCATGGCAGCTCTTGGTCGATGATCTGATTGAGTTCACAGGAATTTCGATAGGAAAGACCTAATGCATCATGAAGCTGCGATAACACCATTCAGAATATTAGCCATCAATTGCCAGCAGTTCTGAAAAAGCTGTTGACCCGGCACCACGAAGCTTTGCCCACTTCATGACCTCATAATCTACAGGAGATGTGAAGGGAGCCCAAATATTTTCCGAGCCAGACAGTTTATCTTTATAGGAGGTGAAGGCTGTAGTGCCGGCACAATGCAATGGAGCTCCTGCACCATGCTGTGGGAACTCCTTGATAGTGGGGTGTTGGCCAAGGGGTGCTTCTGCTTGTCGTTGTTCCGCATGACATGGCTGTGGTTGCAGAGATACATCCTCCAAGTCAGGAAAATCGATGTCCTGTGATGCAGGGTCCACAGGGCATTCCCATCTATGCTCAAGCTCTGCATCATGAGCAGCTATGGCATCTCCATCTCCAAGTTCATCACAGTCCTCATCCTCATCCTCTTCCTGAATTTCAGAGTCAGACTCCATGACTCGACGGACCTCTGGCCACTCGAAATCTTCTTCATTGTAGGTACCAAAGTAGTCACCTATAAATTCTGTCAGTGAGTAAGGTTCAAAGGTGTTGTGATTATCAGAGTGAGTTGGGCCGTGATCATTGTCCATATCAACACAAAAATTAGAATGATGCTGAAATAAAGCTGCACATGGTGGATTTTTGGTAGTAGCAAGGTGATGAGAATGCCCAGCAAGTTCGAAGTCTTTAGCACAGCCTGGACAAGTGATCATTCTGGTGGTAGAAAAACAATGTCCGTAAAGCAACAAACAAACTAACTTGCAAGGGTCAGCAGACTATGAACTTTTTTCTTCCCTGCCCACCTAGTCACTCAACAACCACATTCTTTCGTCCTCAGACACTTGCGCACCTTTTTGCTTGTATACCGTCCAATAGTGTTACTCAAAATAACTTTCAAAACCTTTTGAAAACTTGCTTAGACGCCAGCTAAACACTTTGAACTCTCAGGAAGAAACCTCGGCCAATGACCTAGATTCAAAGTCAGGCCGGCATCATATGGTGGACTTTGAAAGTACCATGCCTCCTGCCCATCGACAACGTGCCCGTCGTTCTGCACGCCTCAACGCTCATACTCCATCGCACTTGGGGGCGATGGATGAGGAATCAAATATTCAAGGTCATTCCACCTCACACCCACCTCTGGAACAGTCTGGACCCTGGCTCGCCATCCAGTGGCACCATGACCGTGCACTTACTGACACACTGGTGAACTATCTGACCACCTACCCTGCCGATTGTTGAATTCTATTCTATTCTGATGGCAAGAAAGCCATGGCTGCTGCGGATGATGGTCCCTCAGGCTCAGATAAGGGGCAGATATACAGTGTTCTCACTAAGCTCATCTTCACGGACCATGTCAAGTACGGCACTGCATACTCAGTCAATCCATAGAAATTTTGTGATGCAGTCTGCAATCGTATCAGGACGTAAGTCTAATCATATTTTTCATTCCATTATTAAAAAAATCCTAAAATTCACGCAGTCTCAGGGGTAAATACAAACAAATTAAGGTGTCGTTCAGCAGTACAGGTGCTGGTGTCATGCCAGTTGAGGGGACTTCAGCAAAAAATCTGCTGGGTGAGTTTTTAGTCCCATTTTTTTCTCGTTCCTGGCTGATCAATTGTTTTAGATGCCGCGCTTCTCAAGCTGCCATGGTACACGGAACTTGATGCCATTTGGCACTCTAATCCATCCATGGCTGCAAAGGTGCACTTATCAAGACCTGGTGTCAACCACACAGGTGCCTTTTACTCCCTCGTTCAACCGCATGGTGGGGCTGGTCCCTCCATGTACTATGGTGACAGTCAGCGGTCATCACACACTCCTGATGTCTCAGATCATCCATCTGCCTACCAACATGGGCACCACATGCCTCAAACTTTTGCTGGCGGTATGTACCCACCGGTAACACATGACTACTCAACATTGCGACACTCTACTCCCCCTCCCCCCTTACCATCACATTCGCCCTCTCACCTTCACCTTCCTGGCCTTCCGCCAGATGACGGTGACAATATCGCCGACAACATCATGATGCTCGACAATGGCCCTGGTAGCCCTTCCCCAGTTGCAGGGAAGAAGCAACAACTCCCTTCATCACCCTCTCCTCCTGCCTCCCCTGCTCCGGAACTGTTTGTTGTGCCGTCAAGAACTCCGGCATCTATGTACAACAACCGGTGTAGAGACTCGCGCCTCTCAATGCCGGATATACAGCCTTATTACCCATTTAATTCCCTACATGTATCAGCTCATATCCAAAGGACCAGTCATTTGTGCTCTCGCGTGCGTGCCCTACGTACGTGCCTCACTCGCACATCACACACTCACTCGCGTCCTTCGCGCGCGTCCCCTTAGGCCTTCACGCTCCTACTGTCTGTCCATCCGTCCTTTGTTCTTGCTGATTTACTGGTGCGTTATTTTTATCTCTCTCATTCAATTAATGAACCTTCGGTCCGACCTCCACGCTTACATACAGAGAGTCTATTTAAACTTAGAATATATTTAGAGTTGATATGGTTACTCGGTTTGGGACCATGCTCGGAAGTGTGCCACATAGCGTAATCTCCCTTCTTAAATAGAGGGAGGGTTCTTTCGGTTCTGGGACTTACTTTTCCCTTATCTTGATATACTGCAAAGTGTATAGTCCCCCTCAATACTAGAAATCTGGTTATACTCCTCCACTGATTGTCACCTGTGCTCTTGCTACTCTCTTAAGGACACCCTCCCTCATCGCTCAAGCGCGCCTCCACTGACGCGTGTACCCTCCGCATCTCTCGCTCACGCACACCTTCGCATCGCCTTCGCGCACGTTACCTTCTCGCATCTATCAGCGCCCATCTAATTGACAGAGTTTCCCTCCATTGTATTAGCAAGGAACTTCTCTCAGTAGCTGTCCTTTGGGTCGAGTCGTATTCTCATATCCAGGTCTTGCTGTAGAGCCCCCATCAGTTTTTAGTGTTTCACCTATAGTCAAGATTCCTCACCTTCACTGGTCCATGTTTGCCACACAGAAACCGTCAAGCCGTGGGGGGCACCACAAAATACCATTGGTCATATCACGCAGCATATCAATGCCCTCATCGACGACACGCAACACCACTTCATCGTCATATTATCATATATCCCCCACGCCCCAGATGACACTTCCAAAAAGTGCCAGCAGCTTGACGAAGAAAAAGGTGAAGTCGGACATATCGCAGCAGGTGGAGCAGGTGAAGGATGAAATTGATAGCTTCCAGTCGAGCGTGATGTTGCACCATGAGGGCAAACATCAATGCTACATCGCCAAGCTCGAAGCCAAAAGCAAGCACAATCGCGACATGAAGAAATACAAGTGGCTCCGTGCTACCTGGGAGCACGAAACCTCCCAAGCCACAGTCAGCCATCAGTGCCAGCAGGAGGTCAAAGACACTGAAATTCGGCTTCATGAGATGGATATTCGAGTCCACCAAGCACATTCCTTGGTGCTTGATAAGGAAGCAGAAACTCTCTGCCTCAAGATCCAGTGGATGAGTTATTTCCTCGTGTTGTCCACATCTTGTCGTTGTCCACATCTGTTGTTGTTCGCATCTGTCGCCATCCGCATCTGTCATCATCCATCCCCTCATCCTGTCTGCTTTGTCATGTTGTTGTTGTTGTTGTTGTTGTTGTTGTTGTTGTTGACATTTGTTGTTACTTATTTGTTCCATTGGATATGTACATGTTTTATGTCTTGTAGTACTTTCATTCATGCTACATAGGTATATACATTTGTTGTACAGGTGTATTAGTAGTAGTACATGTTCAAGCAAGCATTGTTTTTGGTTGTCATCCTTCCCTGCGGTTTGCACCTGAGTGAGGACTATCAAAGAGTGCATCCATCAGCCTTGCACGAGCAGCTTGACCTGGAGTGCCTTCATATGTCCTGTCACCAACTACTTCTTCACCATCTGGACTCTCAATCTCTTGATCAATAAAATCTTCCCCCTCCGCACGGGCCCACTTTAGAGAACTCTGGTATGTTCCATCCTTCTTGTGATGCTCAATTTCAAAGCGAATGATCATGTTGTGCAGGATGATGCAACACTTGATCCACTGTACAGCAAACTCAAGGTCTTTTTTAGCCTGGATCCTGAACCAGAGCTCTCAAAGGGACTGGAACCATCCCTTTAGAACAGCAAATGTGTGTTCAACATGAACATGGATCTAAATAAATAAATAAAATCAATTTATTAAAATATGGCCCTTCAAAAAAATACCTTAGAGAGGTGATAATTAAATGACTTCTGGTTCTTTGTCAGCTGCCCATTACGAGGCTTCTTGAAAGGGGCAATGCACCATGGCTCCAATGGATATGCACTGTCTGCCCAAACCCAATGACCATCAGGCAGAAGGTCAGCATGATCTTCATAGAGACGGGTAGATCGAAAAGCAAATGCATCATGGACACTTCCAGGATGACCCAGAGCATAATCCACAATAAGAAGGTTATGGGGTAAAATGACTGCCTAGAATTAAATCAATTTTTGCACAAGAATATAAAAAAATACAAAAATACCTGACAGCCAAGGGAATACTTGAATTTCCTATCAAAAAATGTCTCACCATAGTAACCAGGTTTGGTGAAAATGTCCACAGTTGAACCATCAATGGCTAAAAAGCCACCTCTCCACTCTGGGCAGGTACGTGACTCAGCAAATTTGCGAGCCAAATCAGCATCCTCAGAGTTATCTGCTGGAAAGCAGATAAACTGATCATGGGCATCAAGCACCGCAATCATCACACGATTAGTGCAATTAACCACAGACCCAACACTCACACCTGCCCATTAAGCAATATCCTCAAGAGTAATGGCATTGCCATAGTGGCCTGCCCGATTCAAAAAAATGGCAAGCTGGATGGAGACAGGGAGCTGAGGATTGTTGGATTTGTTTTGGAAGATAGGGTGATTAGAGATATGATCGAGGATGTCATCAAAAATCTTGGGGTCGACGCGAAGTTTCTGCCAAAACAAGTGAGGGCAGTGTTCTTCATGATGAATTAACATGTGAAGCTGAGAGGCTCGTGGAGGAAGCTCATCAGGCTTATGGAGTACACGAGCCTTCTGAACCTCATCACAGAGGGCATTAATGGTATTGTAGAGCCTGTTGTAAGGCAAAATGACATCATCTGAAGATGTAGAACTGTCGCTAGAAGAATTGGAGGTCCCTGTCATAGGGGAGAGGGGGGATGGGGGGGAGCTAAAAGACAGATTGATTGTGTCATCATCTGAAGTAGAAAGTGAGGTGCCAGAGCTGGAATCATCGGAGCTAGAGTTGGAGTCGGAGTCAGAGTCAGAGTCGGAGTCATAGTCAGACCAATCATCTAAGATATCCTGGTGCTGTAGCTTGGCCAAAGCAAGTTCAGCCTGATCTACAATATCCAGGAGTTCTTGATGTGTGGATGGCTGAGGCATACTAGTTACAGTGGGGTGGAATCAATGAGATCAAATCCCCTATCTATGCATATATGTGACATTGATTTTGGCAGAGTTTAAATGTTCGGCAAATTCCGAAGCTTCGTCTCATGCTGAGCATGTTGGTGTCATCGACCTCACCCTCAAATCTGGATGCTCACCTACAGCGCTGAGCATGACACCATCAAGTGTCATGCACTCAACAAGGTAAGTAATTTTTTGTTCTATTTGCAAGTTGTAGCTAAGATTTATCCAGACTAGCTAATAGGGGAGCTCAAAGTTGAACGCTCACATTTATGCTTATCATTGCTTATGCTTACACCCTCCAATTACACACCAAAGCTGATTATGTAATATTGAGCAAATTTCAATTGTTGTGCAGCCAGTGTGAGGCCACTGTACCATGGCACAAGTTTGTTTACATGATCAGTATCTTCATGCATATCTGTTGTTCATGGTCCTCCGCACCCTCACCAATCCAGAATTGACACCAGAAGATGCTGCTTTACTCCTTAATTGTGATATTGCTTGTGTCCTCATGATTTAATGTATATGCTATCTACAGAAATGATCCTCTGTCACCAAAGCCCCCAGTGTTCGCCTTGCTTGGGAGTTTGCCCAGAATCCATCTGACCACTCTCGATTTGTTAACATGCTTTGGGTGTCACCAGAAGTCTTCCATGTGTTGCTCAATCTGATTGAGGACCATGTGGTTTTCCAAAATAATTCCAACAATGCACAAGCTCCAGTTCAATTGCAGCTTGCTGTCACACTCTATTGAATGGGTTGCTATGGAAATGGTGCATCATTAAAAGATATTGCTTGCTATGCAGGGATCTCCAAGGGTAGTGTTGAGAAATTCACTGAGCGATGTTTTACGGCCATTGAATCTCTACATAATGCATTTGTGCACTTGCCCACTTGGGAGGAAAAGGAAGTGGAGAGATGTTGGGTTGACAATCACCTTGGATTTCAGGGGACTTGGAGGGAGGGCTGGGTAATGTATGATAGGATAATTGTTGTTCTATATGCAAAACCTGGATTAAATGGAGATGCCTACTTCACTCAAAAAGCAAATTATGGGCTTAATCTACAGGTAATTTCCTTCTCTCATAGAGAAAAAATATTCACCCCATCAAATCTCCACATTATAGACTATTCACATGGCCTTACTGGATCTGCTCATGATGCTTCTGCATTTGAGCATACAGCTGCCATTAGACATGCTGACTGGTTTGTTGCTGGCAATGAGTTTGCATGGGTAGACTCAGCTTATTCTGTCAGTGCTCATACAATTCCAGTGCACAAGCGACCTGCATCACTTCTCCCAGATAACACCTTGTTTGATAGTGCTGTTGCTCATCTTAGGGTGCGATCAGAGCACTGCATAGGTGCTTCGAAGGGGCACTGGCAATGCTTGAGGGGACTTCGTATCAACATCGAGCAGCATGTCAATGGATGACTATTGCAATTATTTTTCATAATCTGGTGATAGATGTTGAAGGAGCAACCAAGGGAGAAGATTTTTCTGCTGTGCACACTCGAGCAGAGGAAGAAGAAGATAGAGGACCCACTGATCTTCCTATGGATAATGATGAGCAAGGTGGTGAAGCGAAGCGGCAGCATTTAGTTGAAGAACTACTAGCATTCCGACAGATGTAACTAAATATCTATCAATCTGTGTCAATCTGCATCAAAAGTATCTATAAAAGTGAGCAGGAAAACATAAAGGAGTAATGAGATGAAGGACTGGTCATGACCAGGGAGTGTAAGAATTAATGAGTGTAGGAAAATTAAAAGGGTATAGGGCCAGAGCACATAAGACTTATTCTACTCAATTTTATCCCAATCAGGAGAGTAGTGAGCATGAGCACACTTGGGAAGTCAGGGATTAGCAAGATTATGCTCCAACTCCTCAAGCCTCTCTTGATACTGCTCAACTGTCGAGATAGCAGTAAACTCTCAGAGAAGAAGGTCACGGCTCTTGAGCCTCATCTCTGCATCGGCACGAGCATTGATAGCATCCATGCTTTTTCTACCAGAAGTATCAGTTGAGAACAGGTTCAAACATTAGATAAACTTATGTTTGCAACTTAAGCAATACTTCCTCCATGCCTCACTTCTTCGGAACCTTGGCAATGTGCTGCTTTGCCCTCACAAGAACATCTGACAAAAGAATTCGGTGTAGAACAGGGAAGAATGGGAATTTGGCGACAATTTCATCTATTCAAACAATCAAATCAAGCATATGAAAATATACAAGAAATCATACCCCAGATGCTCTGCATCTTGATGGTGGTTGTTGAATCAGGTCCACCCACAGGGACATAACAGTCGAAGAACTCATTTTTGGACGGGTTATCTTCCACATCAGAGCCATAAATCCCCTCACTAGTGGTTCTGAGATGTTTGCCATGTTGCTGATATTTCCGCATTAAGCTATGTGTGGTGTGAGTCCCTCATATGATGCAATCTAAAATAAAGTAACATACTGGTCATACTTCCATTTGACAGCTTTGCCTGTTGCTGTCGGATTGAGCTTATAGCTCTTAGGTAAGACAACAGCTCCGATCTGTTGAAATACTGTTATCTTGCTGTCCCCAGATGTATTCTGCTTCAATGTCAAGAACATAGTATATGCAAGTATCTGAAACTAAATACTCACCTCCTTCTTTTTCCGCTTGCCAAGCAACACCAGCCTGTTATCGTCCTTTTCAACCTCCGACAGTAGGCTCCATGTCATGTCTTTGGACCAATGAACATCCGGGATAGCAAGGGCAGCATCCTTCTTTGGCATGGTGCTGACACTGGAAGATATATCTTAGTGGCTGGCAATCGACAGTACAAATCAGTGAGAATGGGGGTGTAAGTGTAAGCAACGATAAGCATAAATGTGAGTGTTCAACTTTGAGCTCCCCTAATACTCCTGCAAATGCCTAAGTGTTGTTTCCAAGTCCGATATCATGCTGATGGTGTGCCGAGCATTTTAAGCTCGAGTTTTACAAACTCAAGCCGAGTCTTAGCGGGCCTTAGCGAGTGTTTTAGCGAGTCTCGAAAAGTACTTTGAGTATCGCTAGTGTTTAGCTGGTGTTTAACTGAGTTTTCAAGAGTTTCAAAATTTGATTTGAGTACATGATGGTTGATGTACCTGTGCCCAGAGGGAGTCTTGGACTCCCACTATGCATGGACATTGATCTATTAAGTACATGATGGTTGATGTGCCTACACACAGAGGGAGTCTTGGACTCCCATCATTGCATGAACAAGCTGTGAAGTATATAGGAGTTGATGGGCTTGTGCACGGAGGGAGTCTTGGACTCCCACTAAGGTAGATGACTTGCGAATTTAACGAACATCACATGATGTGACCACAGTGTGACATGCTTATGAGATGACGATGACGAAGCGGCAAACACTGTGGAGACACAATCATGAGTAGAGCAGTGTAGACAAAACGATGTGTGCAGCAGATACTAGTGGGACTCAAAATAACTTCCAAAAACTTTTGGAAACTCGCGTAGAGCACGGCTAAACCTTCCAACACCGCCTAAAGGCGTCGAGAAACTCGGCTAAAACAGCATCCAACAGCTGCAGCACAGGCGGCATGACATATGCATATGAGCGGACTTCAAAGCACTTAGGAGATTTCAATGCACTAAGGATAAAACAAATATATTCGTAGCTACTAGTTAATGCGCTGACATGTAATTAAATATCGACTGGAGGGAGAGAGGGAATCAAAGCTTTCTGTCTGCTCAGCCTGCCGTCTACTCAGCGTGCCCTGGCTCCTGTTAAGAACGTGCTCAAGGGTCGGATCCGAAGGGCTTGGCTTCAGCTTGTGCGCTGCGCCCCTAACTTCCGAAGGCTGTTGAACGATGTCCGGAGGGCGTCGGGCGATGTCCGGAGTCCGATGTCCGATGCGCAGGAATTCCGGTGGACGTTCGGGAACAAGAGATAAGACTAATCCGGACAAAGTCCGAACTAGAAAGGAAACAGTGGAGGACTACCAAAGGTAGAGGCGGAGGTGATAAGTCTATAGGAGTCAATCCTAAGACGAGTGGAGGTCCTTAGTAAAATGAAGACGGAAATGAATAAGGGACGGAAAATAAAGTGTACTAACTGATAAGGGAAATACCAAAGGGATAAGGCACGGAAGTTAGACGTGGGTCGGATCCGGACAATATATAGAAGTCAGCCGGATCCGGAAATCCGGAAATGATGAGTGTGATAGGTCCGGATCCAGAACACGGGATATGACAGCTCCCTACTATCCTCCCTTGAACATCCCTCAATCCTGGCACACTCAAGTGCTGGCTCTACGCCATGTGGGATGACGCACGTGTTGGTGCTTGAAGCCATGGCTTGGGCTCAACCAGGCTGTGAGGAGAAGTGCGAATGTGTTGGGGACTGGCGTGACCGAGCACCGTTAGGATGCATAACAAAATGTGTGCAAGCATGAATGAACGGCTGTAAATGAGTGTAAACAGGTAGACATGAGTGAGAATGACTGGATACGAGCAGATATGAATGTGAACGAACAGATACGAGCAGATACGAATGTGAATGAACGGATAAGAGACCACATGTGTGCGAGAGTGACTGCAAACCCAGAGTGGCTGCATGTAGCAGGGGATCGGAACTTTGGTGGATGTTAGCGACAGTCTGGTGGAGGTCAACAAAGACTTGGCGGATGTTAGGGTATGACGGTCTCAGAGGTGGAGGTCAATGAATCAGCACGCTGATGGTGGTGGAATTCAAACTCCGATTCAAACTCTGACAAATCAGTTGGAGATCGGACGAGCTGATAAGAGATCACACTGTGAATTCCCCCGCACCATGCCTCATCAATCCACACGTAAAGACATCTTGAATGCTGTTGATCAGGCTGCACTTGCATTAGCCAAGTTGCAGTATCAGGATATCCTCGACGACTGGTCAGACTTTGAGTCTGACACCAACTCTGACCTGGACTCGCTTTCAACTTCAGATGATGATTTCAGATTCTTCCAGTGACGAATCCGATAACGTTGCTGCACCCTACGACAGGCTCCAGGACACCATTGCTGCTCTTCGTGACGAGGTCAAGAGGGCACGTGTACTCCATAAGCCCAATGAGCCCCCTCCACGAGCACCTCAGCTTCATATGCTGGTTCACCATGAGGAACACTGCCCTCACCTGTTCCAGCAAAAACTTCGTGTCAACCCAGAGATCTTTGACGATATCCTCGATCATATCTCTGATCACCCTATCTTCCAGAACCAGTCCAACAATTCTCAGCTCCCTGTCTCCATCCAGCTTGCCATTTTTTTGAATCGGGCAGGCCACTATGGCAATGCCATTACTCTTGAAGGATATTGCTTAATGGGCAGGTGTGAGTGTTGGGTCAGTGGTCAATTGCACTAATCGTGTGATGGTCGTGGTACTTGATGCCCATGATCAGTTCATCTGCTTCCCAGCAGGTGACTCTGAGGATAGTGACCTGGCTCGGAAATTTGCCGAGTCACATACTTGTCCAGAGTGGAGAGGTGGCTTTCTAGCCAATGATGGCTCAACCATGGATCTGTTCACTAAACCTGGTTATTATGGTGAGACATTTTATGATAGGAAGTACAAGTATTCCCTTGGCTGTCAGGTATTTTTTTTTTCCATCTTCATGTGCAAAAATTAATTTAATTCTAGGCAGTCATCTTGCCCCACAACCTCCTGATTATCGACTACTCTCTTGGTCACCCTGGGAGTGTCCACGATGCATTTGCTTTTCGGTCTACTCATCTCTATGAAGAGCATGCTGATCTTCTGCCTGATGGTCATTGGGTTTGGGCGGACAGTGCCTATCCATTGGAACCATGGTGTATTGCCCCTTTCAAGAAGCCTCACAATGGATGGCTGACAAAGAACCAGAAGACATTCAATTATCACCTCTCTAAGGTATATTTTTTTTTTGGTAATTTTCAATTGATTTACATTTATTTAGATTCGTGTTTGTGTTGAACACACATTCACTGTTTTGAAGGGACAGTTTCAGTCCCTTCGAGAGCTCCATTTCAGGATTCAGTCGGAGAAAGACCTTGATTTTGCTGTGCAGTGGATCAAGTGTTGTATCATCCTGCACAATATGATCATCTGCTTCGAAATTGATCGTCGCAAACAGGATGGAACATATGAGAGTTCTCTAAAGTGGGCCTGTGGAGAGGGTGAAGATTTCATTGCTCAAGAGTTTGAGGCTCCAGATGGTGATGAGGTAGTTGGTGACAGGACATATGAGGGCACTCCAGGTCAGGCTACTCATGCAAAGCTAATGTCACAACCCAATAACGAATTAATGCTGGGCAGAGACTAGGACTCAAACAACAAGATAATCACAAAAAAGGATAAGGCAGCAGGTACGTCTTGGTATTGCTCACTTGGAGATACAAGAGGTTTGAACTAAAGAACTACTGACTACAAGACACTACCTATATACACATATTGTAACTGAGATCGAAACTGAGTCTGAACTAACTACCAATCAAATAATAAGATGATATCGTACTGATTCTATATATAACTATGATGTCATGACATGTGCCGCAGCAACCGTAAGGTTCTGGAACATTCTGTCAGGGTCGTTTGGAATAAAGTTTAGTCCGGCATACTCCGATAAGTCACGTGACTCGTTCATAGGTTCTTTAGGTAACTCTACAATAGACGCCGTTGTTGGGACATCTTCGACTATAAATACTTTCTTAGTAACAGGCGCTGTGACTGGGCGCTTAAAGGACTTAGAATTTAGGAACGTATAATGGTTTGTATTTGGAACTCGTGACAGCTAATGGATGAGCTCTTTGACAGTCCTCAATCTCATGCACAATGTAGGGCAGGATGAGGATCATATTGACATGTGCTACTACCAAATGTACAACATATATATGTACCTATGTAACACCAACTTGAATCAGAGCAGTACCAATGAAGGCAGGAATGAGAACAGTGTAGGAGAAAAACATACATGCAACAACAAAAAACAGAACATATGATGGTAGTACAAATAAAATGATAGCGACAACACGCAACAGCAACAACAAACAAAGTGCAACAATGATAACGACGACAAACGAATCACGCGGCTCCATCCGACGCTGGGGTCCTGTTGCCCTGCATCATCTGGTGAAACTGTATCTTGAGCCGGAGGGTCTCGGCCTCCTTGTCGAGCACCAACAAATGCGCTTGATGCACTCGAATATCCGTCTCGCGAAGGCAAATCTCGGCATCTTGTTGCTCCTGCAGACGTTGATGGGAGACAGTGGCTTGGGAGGCCTCATGCTTGCGGGCACCGCAAAGCCATTCATATTTCTTCGAGTCATGATGGTGTTCGCTCTTCGGCATAAACTACTTTTATACATTCTGCTCCTGTTGAATTGATTTTGAAATTTCAGCTTTGTCACTCTAAGTAACGCTGTGGCACGTGATGTTCGTTGAATTCGCAAGTTGTCTACCTTATGAGTACATGATGGTTGATGAGCCTGTGCACAGAGGGAGTCTTGGACTCCCGCTATGCAAGGACATTGATATATGGAGTACATGATGGTTGATGAGCCTGTGCACAGAGGGAGTCTTGGACTCCCGATATGAGAGGGAGTCTTGGACTCCCGCTATGCATGGACATTGATATATGGAGTACATGATGGTTGATGAGCCTGTGCACAGAGGGAGTCTTGGACTCCCGCTATGCATGGACATTGATCTGTGGAGTACATGATGGTTGATGTGCCCACACACAGAGGGAGTCTTGGACTCCCGCTATGCATGGACATTGATATATGGAGTACATGATGGTTGATGAGCCTGTGCACAGAGGGAGTCTTGGACTCCCGATATGCATGGACATTGATCTGTAGAGTACATGATGGTTGATGAGCCTGTGCACAGAGGGAGTCTTGGACTCCCGATATGCATGGACATTGATCTGTAGAGTACATGATGGTTGATGAGCCTGTGCACAGAGGGAGTCTTGGACTCCCGCTATGCATGGACATTGATCTGTGGAGTACATGATGGTTGATGTGCCCACACACAGAGGGAGTCTTGGACTCCCGCTATGCATGGACATTGATCTGTGGAGTACATGATGGTTGATGTGCCCACACACACAGGGAGTTCTGGACTCCCACCATTTCATAGACAGCTGTAGAGTAAGATAGTGATCATATGAATTTGATGAACATATCACATACATGTGGAACTCTTGCTGGAATACTGTAGATAGATTAAGAGCAGCACATCATATGATGTGACATTTATTAAATCCATAAACTGCTATCTTACATAGGAGTTGATGGGCTTGTGCACAGAGGGAGTCCTGGACTCCCATCATTGCATGAACAAGCTGTGAAGTATATAGAGGTTGATGGGCTTGTGCACAGAGGGAGTCCTGGACTCCCACCATTGCATGAACAAGCTGTGAAGTATATAGAGGTTGATGGGCTTGTGCACAGAGGGAGTCCTGGACTCCCACCATTGCATGAAACAAGCTGTGTCAAAAGCTGAGACTAAATTGATCCTAGGTGGATCCTAGGGGGTCTCATAACGGGCGGGGGGGCGGGGATTTCTCCTGTATCGTGATTTCTTATTCTTGACTCAGGGAGGCGGTTCCTTTGATTATTCTGTGGTCTTTGCTTTGGTGATGTTCCTTATGGTGGCCCTGGTCTGAAGCGATGCGTGGGCAGAGGTCAGAATTTTGATTCATGTAGACTTGATTTTGTACGTCGAGTCGCTTTTTTTGTATTGCTTGATTTCGACTGGATGATTGCTGTCGTAATATTATTTCTGCGGTGGGCCGAGGATTGACTTTGGTTGCGATTTGACTTGACTTTTGCTGTTTTATTGCTTGACTTTCCTTGATCGATGGCTTATGATTGATTTCTTACGGGTCGGGCGAGGACAGAACCTTGAGATGACTTGGCTTGATTTTGGTTGATATTTGTGATTTTTTTGTGTTTGTATGGCTGCGGTGCGGGTGTATTTTGGCAGTTTTATCGCTGGAGTAGTCTTGCTTGTATGGGGTGATGCATCTTTGTGGTCGGAATGTTGTGCTGACTTGAATTTGATTTTGCTTGATTTTTGCGATTTTGTTGCTGGGGTGGTATGGGATCGTAGTCTTTTCCTTGATTTTTGCTTGTCTTCCTGTCTTGGTCTGGCGTGTTGTATTGGTTGTGGTGCCGAGAACCGAGACAACGAGACAATACGTTTTCATCCTAAGCTGAAGCCTAGCTCTAACAGGTGGGCGGGTGGGATTTGCTTCATTCGTAGCTTGGTGTGTTTCCTTGATTCTGCTGCGTTATTGCTATCGTAGTCTGGGGTGACGCTTTGGTCGAGGTCAGAATTTGCATATGATTTTTGCTTGATTTTTGCGCTATTGTATTTGTGGCGGGGGCGGTGTCTTTGTCTGGGGTGATACGTTGGATGAGGACAGAGCCTTGTGTTGAATTGACATGATTTTATTGTTGTGGTGCGAGTCGCTTGATTTTTTGCTGCGGTAGTCTTGGGCGAGAGGTTGAAATCTTGTTTGGACTTCACTTTGTTTTGCTTGATTTTTGTGATTTTATCGCGGTGATGTTGCTTGATATTGGCTGTTTGATTGTCTGCGGAGATGTGTCTGTGAGGTCAGAATTTGGTTTTGACTTGACTTCATTTTGCTTGATTTTTGTTATATTTTGCGCATTAGTTGCTGCGGTGGATGCGTGGATTGGCAGAGGACAGAGTTTTGATTTGCTTGATTATTGCTGTGGTGGATGTGGCGGGGAACAGAGTTTTGATTTGCTTGATTGTTGCTGTTGTAGGGATTGTTGCGGGTGGTATTCGTCTGGGGTGACGTGTTGGCTGAGGTCGGAATTTGGTTTTGACTTGACTTGATTTTGCTTGATTGTTGTATGTTTTTGCGCTTTTGTTGCTGGGACTTTGCTTGATGTTGGCTGTTTTGTTGCTATGGTGGTCTTGGCTGAGGACGGAATTTTGTTGTTGCTGGGGCGGTGCTTGTCTTGGGTGATGCATTGCGGTAGGTCAGAATTTGGTGCAGACTTGACTTGGTTTTGCTTGATTTTTGTGATTTTTGATGATTTTGTTGCCGGGGAGTGGAGCGAGAGCGTATTGGTATTGGGGGGATTTTGTTGATTTTGCTTGACTTTGAGTTGTAGTCTGGTGGGGGGATGTTGGTCATATTACTGTATGTGGCCGAGAAACAAGACACCGAGACAATACATTCCTTATGCTAAGCATTAACCGAGACAACGAGACACCGAGAGAATACGTTCCTTATCCTAAGCGAAGCTAACGAGACACCGAAGCCTAAACTAACGAGACACCGAAACCTAATGAACCGAGACACCAAACGCTAAGCTAACATGGGCGGGGGGTGGGGTGGACTTGAATTTATCTTGGTTGTTATCTTTGATGTCTTGCGTCGATTTGATTACGCACTTGAATTCGTCTTGGTTGCTATCTTTGTTGCATTTCCTTGATTTGATTATGATCATGCGGTTGGTATATTTGGATACAGATGCTACATTTCCATCAAGGTTTTCTTGGTTGCTTGATTTGATGTGCGTAAAGGTGAGCGGATGATACATATTATATGCGGATGCTTCATTTGCGCAAAGATAAGGTATGAGGATGATGTGTTGACTTTGTTTGATGTTGTCTTGACTTTGCTTTATTTTGCTTATGGTGATGGCATGATCTCGACTTCATTGTGCTATGACTATCATAATTGGGCGAGGCATTGGGCTGAGGTCGGGATCTTATTGTATCTTTGCTTGATTTTAGTTATTGCTGGGGTGGCGCTTGTCTTGGTCGATGCGTTGGTGGAGGTCAGAATGCTGTTTCGATTCGACTTCATTTTGCTTCATTTTTGTTGTTTTGTTCCTGTGGTATTCCTTGATTTTGGCTGTTTTGTTTCTGTGGTGGTATGAGATTGCATCGCTATTGTATCGCTCGTATCTTGGCATGGTAGACACTGAGCGCATTGGTCGAGGTCAGGATCTCATTTTGCAATTTGACTTGATTTTGGCTGTTTTATTCCTTGACTTTCCTTGATTTGTGGCTCATGTCTGATTTTATATGGGTCGGACGTGGATGGAATTGACGCAATGGATGAGGACAGAACCTTGTATAGACTTGGCTGGATTTTGCTTGATTTTTGTGATCTTATTGCTGTGGCGTAGCTTGATTTTGTTGTCTTTGCTGCGGTAGTCTCGGGTGAAAGGTCGAAATTTCATTTTGGCTTGTCTTTGGTTTGCTTCATCTTTGAGATTTTATTGCTGATATGTTGCTTGATTTTGGTTGTTTGATTGTCTGGGGTGATGCGTATTTGAGGTCAGACTTTTGTTTTGACTTGACTTTGTTTTGCTTGATTTTTGTGATTTTTTGTGTGTTGATTGCTGCGGTGGCGGTGGTATTGGGCGAGGACTGAACTTTGTTTTGATTTGCTTGATTTTTGCTTGACTTTCCTTGATTGCGGCTGTTGTAGCATGGCGGTGCTTGTCTGGAGGTGATGCGTCAGGCGAGGACAGGGTCTTGTTTTGACTTGACTTCATTTTGCTTGATTTTTGCGAATTTGTTGCTGGGGTGGTATGATATTGTGTTGCTATCATGGTATTTTCCTTCACTTTCCCTTGTGTTGCTGTCGTAGTCTTGGATATTGTACCGCGAATCTTATGGCGTGGTGCTTGGAAGCGCACATATTATATGTGTCTGGGGTGATGCATTGGCTGAGGATGGAAGTTTTGCTGTAACTTGATGTCAGATGTTTGCTTTATTATTGCTGCGGTGGTCTTGGGCATTGTATTATATTGCTTGTCTTGGGGTGCCGAGAGCCGAGACACCGAGACAATACGTTTTCATCCTAAGCTGAACCTAGCTCTAACGGGCGGGGGGCGGGGATTTCTCCTGTATCGTGATTTCTTATTCTTGACTCAGGGAGGCGGTTCCTTTGATTATTCTGTGGTCTTTGCTTTGGTGATGTTCCTTATGGTGGCCCTGGTCTGAAGCGATGCGTGGGCAGAGGTCAGAATTTTGATTCATGTAGACTTGATTTTGTACGTCGAGTCGCTTTTTTTGTATTGCTTGATTTCGACTGGATGATTGCTGTCGTAATATTATTTCTGCGGTGGGCCGAGGATTGACTTTGGTTGCGATTTGACTTGACTTTTGCTGTTTTATTGCTTGACTTTCCTTGATCGATGGCTTATGATTGATTTCTTACGGGTCGGGCGAGGACAGAACCTTGAGATGACTTGGCTTGATTTTGGTTGATATTTGTGATTTTTTTGTGTTTGTATGGCTGCGGTGCGGGTGTATTTTGGCAGTTTTATCGCTGGAGTAGTCTTGCTTGTATGGGGTGATGCATCTTTGTGGTCGGAATGTTGTGCTGACTTGAATTTGATTTTGCTTGATTTTTGCGATTTTGTTGCTGGGGTGGTATGGGATCGTAGTCTTTTCCTTGATTTTTGCTTGTCTTCCTGTCTTGGTCTGGCGTGTTGTATTGGTTGTGGTGCCGAGAACCGAGACAACGAGACAATACGTTTTCATCCTAAGCTGAAGCCTAGCTCTAACAGGTGGGCGGGTGGGATTTGCTTCATTCGTAGCTTGGTGTGTTTCCTTGATTCTGCTGCGTTATTGCTATCGTAGTCTGGGGTGACGCTTTGGTCGAGGTCAGAATTTGCATATGATTTTTGCTTGATTTTTGCGCTATTGTATTTGTGGCGGGGGCGGTGTCTTTGTCTGGGGTGATACGTTGGATGAGGACAGAGCCTTGTGTTGAATTGACATGATTTTATTGTTGTGGTGCGAGTCGCTTGATTTTTTGCTGCGGTAGTCTTGGGCGAGAGGTTGAAATCTTGTTTGGACTTCACTTTGTTTTGCTTGATTTTTGTGATTTTATCGCGGTGATGTTGCTTGATATTGGCTGTTTGATTGTCTGCGGAGATGTGTCTGTGAGGTCAGAATTTGGTTTTGACTTGACTTCATTTTGCTTGATTTTTGTTATATTTTGCGCATTAGTTGCTGCGGTGGATGCGTGGATTGGCAGAGGACAGAGTTTTGATTTGCTTGATTATTGCTGTGGTGGATGTGGCGGGGAACAGAGTTTTGATTTGCTTGATTGTTGCTGTTGTAGGGATTGTTGCGGGTGGTATTCGTCTGGGGTGACGTGTTGGCTGAGGTCGGAATTTGGTTTTGACTTGACTTGATTTTGCTTGATTGTTGTATGTTTTTGCGCTTTTGTTGCTGGGACTTTGCTTGATGTTGGCTGTTTTGTTGCTATGGTGGTCTTGGCTGAGGACGGAATTTTGTTGTTGCTGGGGCGGTGCTTGTCTTGGGTGATGCATTGCGGTAGGTCAGAATTTGGTGCAGACTTGACTTGGTTTTGCTTGATTTTTGTGATTTTTGATGATTTTGTTGCCGGGGAGTGGAGCGAGAGCGTATTGGTATTGGGGGGATTTTGTTGATTTTGCTTGACTTTGAGTTGTAGTCTGGTGGGGGGATGTTGGTCATATTACTGTATGTGGCCGAGAAACAAGACACCGAGACAATACATTCCTTATGCTAAGCATTAACCGAGACAACGAGACACCGAGAGAATACGTTCCTTATCCTAAGCGAAGCTAACGAGACACCGAAGCCTAAACTAACGAGACACCGAAACCTAATGAACCGAGACACCAAACGCTAAGCTAACATGGGCGGGGGGTGGGGTGGACTTGAATTTATCTTGGTTGTTATCTTTGATGTCTTGCGTCGATTTGATTACGCACTTGAATTCGTCTTGGTTGCTATCTTTGTTGCATTTCCTTGATTTGATTATGATCATGCGGTTGGTATATTTGGATACAGATGCTACATTTCCATCAAGGTTTTCTTGGTTGCTTGATTTGATGTGCGTAAAGGTGAGCGGATGATACATATTATATGCGGATGCTTCATTTGCGCAAAGATAAGGTATGAGGATGATGTGTTGACTTTGTTTGATGTTGTCTTGACTTTGCTTTATTTTGCTTATGGTGATGGCATGATCTCGACTTCATTGTGCTATGACTATCATAATTGGGCGAGGCATTGGGCTGAGGTCGGGATCTTATTGTATCTTTGCTTGATTTTAGTTATTGCTGGGGTGGCGCTTGTCTTGGTCGATGCGTTGGTGGAGGTCAGAATGCTGTTTCGATTCGACTTCATTTTGCTTCATTTTTGTTGTTTTGTTCCTGTGGTATTCCTTGATTTTGGCTGTTTTGTTTCTGTGGTGGTATGAGATTGCATCGCTATTGTATCGCTCGTATCTTGGCATGGTAGACACTGAGCGCATTGGTCGAGGTCAGGATCTCATTTTGCAATTTGACTTGATTTTGGCTGTTTTATTCCTTGACTTTCCTTGATTTGTGGCTCATGTCTGATTTTATATGGGTCGGACGTGGATGGAATTGACGCAATGGATGAGGACAGAACCTTGTATAGACTTGGCTGGATTTTGCTTGATTTTTGTGATCTTATTGCTGTGGCGTAGCTTGATTTTGTTGTCTTTGCTGCGGTAGTCTCGGGTGAAAGGTCGAAATTTCATTTTGGCTTGTCTTTGGTTTGCTTCATCTTTGAGATTTTATTGCTGATATGTTGCTTGATTTTGGTTGTTTGATTGTCTGGGGTGATGCGTATTTGAGGTCAGACTTTTGTTTTGACTTGACTTTGTTTTGCTTGATTTTTGTGATTTTTTGTGTGTTGATTGCTGCGGTGGCGGTGGTATTGGGCGAGGACTGAACTTTGTTTTGATTTGCTTGATTTTTGCTTGACTTTCCTTGATTGCGGCTGTTGTAGCATGGCGGTGCTTGTCTGGAGGTGATGCGTCAGGCGAGGACAGGGTCTTGTTTTGACTTGACTTCATTTTGCTTGATTTTTGCGAATTTGTTGCTGGGGTGGTATGATATTGTGTTGCTATCATGGTATTTTCCTTCACTTTCCCTTGTGTTGCTGTCGTAGTCTTGGATATTGTACCGCGAATCTTATGGCGTGGTGCTTGGAAGCGCACATATTATATGTGTCTGGGGTGATGCATTGGCTGAGGATGGAAGTTTTGCTGTAACTTGATGTCAGATGTTTGCTTTATTATTGCTGCGGTGGTCTTGGGCATTGTATTATATTGCTTGTCTTGGGGTGCCGAGAGCCGAGACACCGAGACAATACGTTTTCATCCTAAGCTGAACCTAGCTCTAACGGGCGGGGGGGCGGGGATTTCTCCTGTATCGTGATTTCTTATTCTTGACTCAGGGAGGCGGTTCCTTTGATTATTCTGTGGTCTTTGCTTTGGTGATGTTCCTTATGGTGGCCCTGGTCTGAAGCGATGCGTGGGCAGAGGTCAGAATTTTGATTCATGTAGACTTGATTTTGTACGTCGAGTCGCTTTTTTTGTATTGCTTGATTTCGACTGGATGATTGCTGTCGTAATATTATTTCTGCGGTGGGCCGAGGATTGACTTTGGTTGCGATTTGACTTGACTTTTGCTGTTTTATTGCTTGACTTTCCTTGATCGATGGCTTATGATTGATTTCTTACGGGTCGGGCGAGGACAGAACCTTGAGATGACTTGGCTTGATTTTGGTTGATATTTGTGATTTTTTTGTGTTTGTATGGCTGCGGTGCGGGTGTATTTTGGCAGTTTTATCGCTGGAGTAGTCTTGCTTGTATGGGGTGATGCATCTTTGTGGTCGGAATGTTGTGCTGACTTGAATTTGATTTTGCTTGATTTTTGCGATTTTGTTGCTGGGGTGGTATGGGATCGTAGTCTTTTCCTTGATTTTTGCTTGTCTTCCTGTCTTGGTCTGGCGTGTTGTATTGGTTGTGGTGCCGAGAACCGAGACAACGAGACAATACGTTTTCATCCTAAGCTGAAGCCTAGCTCTAACAGGTGGGCGGGTGGGATTTGCTTCATTCGTAGCTTGGTGTGTTTCCTTGATTCTGCTGCGTTATTGCTATCGTAGTCTGGGGTGACGCTTTGGTCGAGGTCAGAATTTGCATATGATTTTTGCTTGATTTTTGCGCTATTGTATTTGTGGCGGGGGCGGTGTCTTTGTCTGGGGTGATACGTTGGATGAGGACAGAGCCTTGTGTTGAATTGACATGATTTTATTGTTGTGGTGCGAGTCGCTTGATTTTTTGCTGCGGTAGTCTTGGGCGAGAGGTTGAAATCTTGTTTGGACTTCACTTTGTTTTGCTTGATTTTTGTGATTTTATCGCGGTGATGTTGCTTGATATTGGCTGTTTGATTGTCTGCGGAGATGTGTCTGTGAGGTCAGAATTTGGTTTTGACTTGACTTCATTTTGCTTGATTTTTGTTATATTTTGCGCATTAGTTGCTGCGGTGGATGCGTGGATTGGCAGAGGACAGAGTTTTGATTTGCTTGATTATTGCTGTGGTGGATGTGGCGGGGAACAGAGTTTTGATTTGCTTGATTGTTGCTGTTGTAGGGATTGTTGCGGGTGGTATTCGTCTGGGGTGACGTGTTGGCTGAGGTCGGAATTTGGTTTTGACTTGACTTGATTTTGCTTGATTGTTGTATGTTTTTGCGCTTTTGTTGCTGGGACTTTGCTTGATGTTGGCTGTTTTGTTGCTATGGTGGTCTTGGCTGAGGACGGAATTTTGTTGTTGCTGGGGCGGTGCTTGTCTTGGGTGATGCATTGCGGTAGGTCAGAATTTGGTGCAGACTTGACTTGGTTTTGCTTGATTTTTGTGATTTTTGATGATTTTGTTGCCGGGGAGTGGAGCGAGAGCGTATTGGTATTGGGGGGATTTTGTTGATTTTGCTTGACTTTGAGTTGTAGTCTGGTGGGGGGATGTTGGTCATATTACTGTATGTGGCCGAGAAACAAGACACCGAGACAATACATTCCTTATGCTAAGCATTAACCGAGACAACGAGACACCGAGAGAATATGTTCCTTATCCTAAGCGAAGCTAACGAGACACCGAAGCCTAAACTAACGAGACACCGAAACCTAATGAACCGAGACACCAAACGCTAAGCTAACATGGGCGGGGGGTGGGGTGGACTTGAATTTATCTTGGTTGTTATCTTTGATGTCTTGCGTCGATTTGATTACGCACTTGAATTCGTCTTGGTTGCTATCTTTGTTGCATTTCCTTGATTTGATTATGATCATGCGGTTGGTATATTTGGATACAGATGCTACATTTCCATCAAGGTTTTCTTGGTTGCTTGATTTGATGTGCGTAAAGGTGAGCGGATGATACATATTATATGCGGATGCTTCATTTGCGCAAAGATAAGGTATGAGGATGATGTGTTGACTTTGTTTGATGTTGTCTTGACTTTGCTTTATTTTGCTTATGGTGATGGCATGATCTCGACTTCATTGTGCTATGACTATCATAATTGGGCGAGGCATTGGGCTGAGGTCGGGATCTTATTGTATCTTTGCTTGATTTTAGTTATTGCTGGGGTGGCGCTTGTCTTGGTCGATGCGTTGGTGGAGGTCAGAATGCTGTTTCGATTCGACTTCATTTTGCTTCATTTTTGTTGTTTTGTTCCTGTGGTATTCCTTGATTTTGGCTGTTTTGTTTCTGTGGTGGTATGAGATTGCATCGCTATTGTATCGCTCGTATCTTGGCATGGTAGACACTGAGCGCATTGGTCGAGGTCAGGATCTCATTTTGCAATTTGACTTGATTTTGGCTGTTTTATTCCTTGACTTTCCTTGATTTGTGGCTCATGTCTGATTTTATATGGGTCGGACGTGGATGGAATTGACGCAATGGATGAGGACAGAACCTTGTATAGACTTGGCTGGATTTTGCTTGATTTTTGTGATCTTATTGCTGTGGCGTAGCTTGATTTTGTTGTCTTTGCTGCGGTAGTCTCGGGTGAAAGGTCGAAATTTCATTTTGGCTTGTCTTTGGTTTGCTTCATCTTTGAGATTTTATTGCTGATATGTTGCTTGATTTTGGTTGTTTGATTGTCTGGGGTGATGCGTATTTGAGGTCAGACTTTTGTTTTGACTTGACTTTGTTTTGCTTGATTTTTGTGATTTTTTGTGTGTTGATTGCTGCGGTGGCGGTGGTATTGGGCGAGGACTGAACTTTGTTTTGATTTGCTTGATTTTTGCTTGACTTTCCTTGATTGCGGCTGTTGTAGCATGGCGGTGCTTGTCTGGAGGTGATGCGTCAGGCGAGGACAGGGTCTTGTTTTGACTTGACTTCATTTTGCTTGATTTTTGCGAATTTGTTGCTGGGGTGGTATGATATTGTGTTGCTATCATGGTATTTTCCTTCACTTTCCCTTGTGTTGCTGTCGTAGTCTTGGATATTGTACCGCGAATCTTATGGCGTGGTGCTTGGAAGCGCACATATTATATGTGTCTGGGGTGATGCATTGGCTGAGGATGGAAGTTTTGCTGTAACTTGATGTCAGATGTTTGCTTTATTATTGCTGCGGTGGTCTTGGGCATTGTATTATATTGCTTGTCTTGGGGTGCCGAGAGCCGAGACACCGAGACAATACGTTTTCATCCTAAGCTGAACCTAGCTCTAACGGGCGGGGGGCGGGGATTTCTCCTGTATCGTGATTTCTTATTCTTGACTCAGGGAGGCGGTTCCTTTGATTATTCTGTGGTCTTTGCTTTGGTGATGTTCCTTATGGTGGCCCTGGTCTGAAGCGATGCGTGGGCAGAGGTCAGAATTTTGATTCATGTAGACTTGATTTTGTACGTCGAGTCGCTTTTTTTGTATTGCTTGATTTCGACTGGATGATTGCTGTCGTAATATTATTTCTGCGGTGGGCCGAGGATTGACTTTGGTTGCGATTTGACTTGACTTTTGCTGTTTTATTGCTTGACTTTCCTTGATCGATGGCTTATGATTGATTTCTTACGGGTCGGGCGAGGACAGAACCTTGAGATGACTTGGCTTGATTTTGGTTGATATTTGTGATTTTTTTGTGTTTGTATGGCTGCGGTGCGGGTGTATTTTGGCAGTTTTATCGCTGGAGTAGTCTTGCTTGTATGGGGTGATGCATCTTTGTGGTCGGAATGTTGTGCTGACTTGAATTTGATTTTGCTTGATTTTTGCGATTTTGTTGCTGGGGTGGTATGGGATCGTAGTCTTTTCCTTGATTTTTTGCGTGAAGTGTTCAATACTTGAATCTTGACCTGCAATGGCGTCAATCAATGCACACACAGACTCCGAAACTCTTGACAAACACATGCCAGCTCTCAATCGATGCAAATGCACAATGGAAACTCTTGATAAATATGCACTAGCTCTCAATTGCCAAAGTTGTGCAGTGTGCAAGCCGCGGAACGTGCACATAATATTAGTGCAGATATAACACCATTTATATTCTACACCAGTACTAGATGACATATGGACTCATATTGTGTACTTTTATATAATTGTGTATCTGTATATAATAGACACTGCAGGCAGTGAAATGTATTATATTAGGCATATATGACATTGTTTACACTCAGGGAGCAAGTCGGCGTGGTGCATTGGTCTGACTACTGTATAATTTCGACCTTAGGTTCATCACACCGTCGCAAGCCCAATGAACCTAACCTATTTTTTGTGACAGTCACAGCTGTTTTGGTCAATGAACCTAATTTTGTGACATAACATATGATATGTTTGTTTTTAGATATGTTTTTTTATGAAAACATTCACTTAACCACTTTTTTTCCCTCCGCATTGTCATTTTTGAACTATATTTGTGTAGAAAGTACATATATTATCTTACTACATATGAACCTTGTGAACTTATTGTAAGTTTGTCACAGCTGTCCTCGAGAGACGAACCTGTCACAAAACCATTAGGTAATGCAGTGCAGAAATTCCCACGAACCTAAGGTCGAAATTATACAGTATGATTTTGAATCAAAGTCACAGAAGTTGTAGAAGTTGTAGAAGTCCAAACATGGACAAATGGTGACCGACTTACCATTCTTGGAATATTAGTGTCAACTTTTGACTATGTAGACATCTGACTAGTCATCCCCGGGACCACAAAGATTCCACCCGGTCGATCTAATACCATGGAACAAGCAGGTATGCTCCAATTCTTTGTCATCCTTGGAATGAAATTCATCTTTTTCAGATACATCATGCAATGTACTTCTCGATACTTCAGAACAAATTGCAATGCGAGACACTTCCCAGGAACACGTCAAGCTTTCTAAGTCTCAGATTCGTAGGAGAAAACGAGAAGAGAGGAGAGAAAGGCAACATAAATTGTGTCTGGCAGAACAAAGGGCTATCTGTACGTCCCACCAGCACATTTTATTCTATCTAATGTCCTCGATAGTGTTTGCTAAGTACCAGATGGGCACAAACAAATGGAATAAGCAGAGAGCAGACCAAGATGCTCTTTTTGTTGTAGAACAACAGGAAACTGGTACGTCATATAGGCATATTTTATTCCATCGGCTGCTGATACGATCATTTCAAAGGGTCTTCGAGGTCCAATATTCACAAGAAAATACGAAAAGAGAAGAAAGCGAAAAGGAAAGCATTGGTCGCAAAAGAACAAGAAGCTAGTGCATGTTATGACTTATTATATTCACTAGTTATAAGTAATGTATATAGAGACAATAGCAACACAAATGTTAGCACGCACGCAAGCGCTGCTAGTAGAGAAAGAGGCAGCACTGCTTGAAATGCAAGATGCAGCGCACAGAGACGCGTTAATCGCAGCAGAGAAGATTGCATTTTTGGAAGAGAGAATGGAAGATCTACTTACAGTGCTGAAAGAATCACCTGGGGGATTGTGATGATGGTCTTGACAGCCAAAGATCTTCGCAGTACCGCAGCAGTGGATGATCTAAGTGGTGAACCAAAGAAGATAGAGGGTGTCCTCCATGATCTGTAGTATACTTACTAGTACTTAACACAGGGCTGGGAGACTGTCGATTCGAGTGAACTTGTCAAATGACTTGGGAAGAAAATTTGATAATCCTCTGTGAGACCCATTCCTCGACGGCGGGGGAGAGGACGACTATAATTATAATTGGAAACAATGACATAGTTGTAATGACGAAAGCCTAAATGTATTTCTCGTCCAGTATAGGGCTAAACCGGATGGCTGCCACTCCCTGCGATCAGGTTGGATGCGTGAATGTGACTTCCGCTTGGAGGTTTAGTTAAATGGGGTGACAGGGTGATGCTTATGGGGCGCACCCGGAACACCAAATAGATAGTGTTGAGTGGTAATCACTGGCCCAAACAACCCACCAGCGAGCTCTACAGTACGGTAAATAGAACTAAGGATGAATTGAGTATATCAATGACCACTGATAAGATGTGTTGGGCGCTAACCAAATAAAGATGCAGAGAGTGCAGAATGCCATGGCACAGATCAGAACTCGCAAGTTCTTGCTCACAGCACTTTGACCTTTCTCCAATACGCGAGGCTGCTCAACGTGGCGGAAGGGAGAATTAAATTTCAAATGCAAGAAAAATTCAGATGCCAAAGTGACATAGACCACGATGGCAACTAGAGAGCAAAGGTCAGGAATATGAATGAGAGAATTGAGACCCTTGTCAGGCACAGAGCTGAGCTGCAATCCCCCCTAGCATGATGTTTGCTCCCTATCTCTGTGATGAGCTTGTTACATGAAATAATGAATGATGTACATACCATCGCAGCACTTGTATCCTGGCTAACGGCATGCACGGCGGATGCACCTCCAAAAGCTTGTACAATCAAACAGATAATATCCTAGGAGTTGGGAAGATATGAACAACAAACACAGCTTGAATGTATGATACCAATGAAGCAACAGAAAATGATGGTATTTGCACCAGATCAGTAACTGAACTACCAGGAACATCAGGGCAACACTAACATAACTTGGGGGTTATACGGCTGTACTGGGGTCCAACTTGGTTGATTATCTTGCCAAGAATAATAAAGTTGGCAGCGACAAGGGGAGTAGGTGCAATGATAGTGCCGACAAGCCTGCAGTGGAAATGGTTGAGCAGGCGTGCAAATAGGTACTTCTAGATGAACATGTACTGCATCTCATAAGGCGTCAGAATCTTGGAACTGTGGCTAGACCATAGCCTGGTGCTCCATCCTAGTATTTCGAGAACACTGGCAAAAGTCACCATTGGAAGCATCCACCAGAGTCTATACTTGAGTGCCTGGCTCAAGTGGATGACTGAAAGTATCAAGTCATGACCATCCACTGCCAATAGTAAAAAACATACTAGCGTCTCCAAGTACTCCGGAATACGCATGACC